GGGGGGGGGGGGGGGGGGGGGGGGGGGTTCTGCTCGCCTAAGATCTCTGAAATGAAGGATTTCCGCCAAATGTTTGAGCGTTTTGGCCGCAGTTTCCCGGGGAAAAAAGCCTCAAGCCTTTTAATCTGATAGTCCTCGCATCAGGTGATGAAAATTTAACCTTCTTAATCTGTGCAAGGTTCATCTTCCCAATTTTATCGACTTGTGTAGGAGTTCTGTTTCCCTTGGCCCCTGACATTGTGGCGTTTTGGCAAAATTTTGCAGGAGGAAAAAAAAACTGAGAGTTGTTGTTGCTGTGTGACTTTTCCCGTAACATTCCCAGATTTAAATCTTAAAAATTATATACGTTAAATTTTTGAGGGAGGGATACTTTTCTCCAAGACCCCTGAAATCGGAGATTTTTGCCAAATTTGCACGTTTTTATCGATCGCATTTCCCGAAAATGTTTTCAGAGATTTTTCCTGCCAACGCGTTTATGGATATGGATTCGAATTTTAATTTCCTTACATCAGTTAGTGATGATTAATCCCTTGTATTTTCTGGAGGTTTCATCTTCTTCAGAATTGGAAAAAAAAAGGTTATGATCCCACGTTTCCTTTAAAAAATTTTCTTTGGTGTTTTTTTTTTTTTTATCTTGAAAACGGTACTATGCTCTGAATACTGTTCTTGATTAATTGCGCGGAACTTTCAGGTCGGCCCTCTAGTGTTCGTCCGTGCATGCAAAGCGTGTATTCTCGTGTTTTCGATCTCCCCCCCTTCGTCATCTCAGGTCGTGATTAGGTTAATGAGCGCGGGACACGCGGCCTTGGGACATGGTTTTCTTATTTTTTTATGTTTGTTTTTTTTTGTGGTCTTCCTTCCTCCTTTTCCTCCTCCCCCATCTTGGCTAATGATGCTTGATTACGGAGCCCGCGGGCAGAAAATTGTATCGTTTTCTTCCCCTCCTCTGCTTCTTGGTTTCCACAGTCTTTCTTGAGAGAGCGCTTAATTCCTCCACGGTCTAATCAACGTTGTTGGGTTTTTTCTAAATGCTGGCGTCCCGAAAATCGTGACGTTACTTTGGCTGAAAGCGTGACTTGGTGTCGCAACTTTTTTGTGGGAGTGGGGATTTGAAGCAGCACTCGACGACGACGACGACGACAGTGTCGACAGGGAATTTTTCAGCATTTTATTTTTGAAAGTGGAGGGAGTTGTGCGAAGTTGATTCACTGGAAAGTGCGAGTTGAAAAATTTGTGGAAATAAGTTATGGTGTAATGTTCCGCGGAAAATTTTAATAAAGCATAATGAATTTATGCTTGAGATTATCGGTGAAGGACGTTGAAGTATCTTTATCTGAAACAATTTTGCAGGACAATTGCAGTTGAAATTATCTCGTGCGAAAATAAAATTTGGCTTTTCTCCTGCTATCACTTCAGACAGATTTTCACCTGATGAAATAAATTATTTGAATTTTTCATTCTGAGAAATTTTTGTTCAAGCCCGCCTTTCTAATTTTTTGAAGACATTCCTCTCTATACCTGCTTCATTAGTTCTCAACTTATTATTTTTTTTTTTCAAAAAAGCAGAAACTTTTTAAATGCTTGTATTTATGCAAAATTTTTTGGAGTGCTCAAAAATTTTACAAAACTTGGTTGGTCCGCAGAACATTTTTTTTTTAATTGCCAGTTCGCAAAAATTTTTTGGAAATTCGTCAGTCTCCGCGGACCCAAAAAGGTTCGGTAACACTGATTTAGGAATATAAAATGCGGAGAGATAATTGAGTTTTCTCACGTTGACGCATTTGAGTTACTTTTGCTAAATTTTATCTTACAAATTTCATAACGCTTGAAAATTACGTGGGGATACAATGATTTAGGTTGAAATCGCAGAAAATTGTGTTTTCATTCGATGACGAATGTGAGTCGCATTTGAGTTGCTATTGATTTTTTGTTACGCATTTTAAAACGCGTGGTTTACATTATTACTATTAAATCCCAAATTCACGTCTTTAACTCAAATGTAAGCTACTTCTTACACTCTGCGAAGAAGCTCAATGAGAGCTAAAAACAATGTACAAAACTTTGTACCCTTTTAAAGTAGATGATAAATGTAAGGTGTAAAACGCAGGGAGGAAATTAAGTTTTCATTCGGTGACGCTGTGAGACCGTAAACTTAATGATAGCTAAAAAAATTACGTAAAACTTTGCGAATTTTTATGTCAAACCCCTATTAGTTACCACTTTTGCGTCTTTAACTCAAATTTAAAGTTACTGCTTACACTCTGTGCAAACTTTTACTCGTGATGTATGTTATTCATTTCAAATTTCAGTAGATACTTGCATTAAGGAAATAAAACTGAACGGAACCTTTTCTGGGGGTTTCTGAGAGTAATTCCAAAAATTTTTAAAATTAAATTGAGTTTTCCTTCAGTGACTCGAGTGAGGAATAAGTTGCACGGTAATGGAAATTTTGAAATCCGTGTTTAAAAGAGAACCTTGGCATTTTACGGCCTTCACAATCATTGTTCACTGCTGTATTGGAATTTTGTTTGAAATGTCCGCGAAATGTACGAGAGATACCAGCTGCTTGTTTTGATTGCATTTTCAAAATTACCCTGACTCTGAAATTTTGTATCCCATTTATAATTAAATTTTGTAAAAATAATTAATAATTTATGAAGCAGTAATTTTTTTCAAAGTTATCATAGACCAAGTAAAAGGGTATCCCTAATATAACTCAGGAAATTGTTCAAATTTTACATTCTATTTTCATCTTGAAGATTTTGTTTGGTGATTGAAGTTCAACAAAAATGAACACCAAAATTTGCAATTGTCGATGCGTGTATTTCAAACGATATTTTTTCTGAAGTGGGACACCAAATTATTTTTAGAAATTGAGTTTGAAAGTCCGTGAAAGCAACATTTTTAAATTCAAATGACAATTCTCATCTTGAGAGAAATAAATTTTGTAAAAAAAAAATTGATAATTTATGAAGCAGTAATTTCTCCGATTTTTTTTTTTTTCAAAGTTATCATAGACCAAGTATAAGGGTATCCCTAATATAACTCAGGAAATTGTACATTCTATTTTCATGTTCGAGATTTTTTTTTGGTGATTTGAAATTTTCGTTGCGTGGATTTCAAAGGATATTTTCTCTGAAGTGGAACACCGAATTATTTTTAGAAATTGAGTTTGAAAGACCGTGAAAGCAATGTTTTTTTTTTATTCGAGTAATGATTCTCAGTCGTCGGTTTTTTTTAAAGACGTTTTATTATCGCAGTTCAAATAATGTATTATGCAACATTTTATTCAGAAGCAGCTTCTGACTTGTGCTTGAATTTAAGCGCAAACTCAGGTTTATAGCTTTCGTCGTTTTTTTTTTTTTCAACTGTAAAGTGCTATGTTTTGAGAGAGTGAAGGAATTTTTATCATGTCTTCAAAAATTTTCAAATTGAAGACTGGGTTTTTAAAAAATAAAATTTTATATTTCCCAACTCCGCATTTAGAAATTCAGCATCTTGTCAATCCTCCTCCACGTTCGACCCACAAGCTACTGGTATCAAAATAAATATATTCTTTATTTTAAAATGCCAGGAAATGGATTCTGAACAACTCTGTGTAAAATGGAAATCTCATCTAACTTCGGGGGGGGGGGGGGGGGGTATACAAGTTTGGAGAGAGAATCCGAGGTGGAAGAAGATTTGTGGGTTGCGGATTTGTCAGATGGATGGACGGATGGTGTGGGTCCGGAATTCGGCCCAAGGCCCGCGCGGGGTGTTTGTCTTGACGCCGAAGGAATGTCTCCTCTCTTCTTCTTCTGAATTTGATATCGCCTTCGTTTTGTTTTAAATGATATTATTTTCGCGCCACCTCCGAAGCTTGACGTCTTGTTCCACGCGTCGTTTGCCGTCTGATGCGATGACCGGAGAAGTTGGTAAGGTGAGGTCGAAGAGGGTCATGGCCTTGATTCCTTCCTCGGGCGGCGATTGCGTTTCGCTGACGTGATTGAGCGGTAAATCTTCATTCCTCCCCACGCAGTCTGCGTTTTTTTTTTTTTTTTTTCAGGGTGGGAGAACAACCTTTCATTTTTTTGTGATATTTTATTCTGCATATTCTGTTTGGCTAAATTTTGCGTGTTTTTAGAATTTGAGTTTTATTTTATTTTTTCGAGGAATTTTTTTTGTTTTGGGAAATTGTGTGTGTCGTCACTCGCTGTGTAGAAGTCTATTAAAGGCAAATGAAACCTCTTAATTTGTGGTTTTTGGGAAAAATGTTGAAACTAAATTGCGGAAGGTTTTTTTCAAGCAAATGATGCGCTAGAAAATTTTGGAAGCGTCTTGTTTTTATTTATAATTAAGTTTTATAATTGCTTCCGCAAAATACAATGCTTGAATTGATGATTGATGTTATAACAACTTTTAGGATCTTCATTCCTCTCCACACAATCTGTGTATTTTATTTTCAGGGTTGGGTAACCACACTTTCCAAAAACATTTCCCCTGCCTCTTTTTGGATTCCGCGTGCTTTTAGGATTTGAATACGATTTTTTTTTTTTTTTGAAATTGTCTTGTTATGAGAAGTTTTGATGTGAAAGTCTACAATGAGGGCAAATGCAAACGCTTGGATTTACTTCAAGTCATTTTTAGTCTTCAGGAAAAATGATGAAACTGAATTTTGGAAGGGTTACTCGAACAAATGACGTACTAGAAAAACGCTGGACACGTTTTTTTTTTAATTTCTATGATCAAATTTTATGATTGCTTCTGCAAAATCCAACTCTTTCATAATGGTTGAATAAATGTCAACTCATTGAATCTTCATTCAGTCTCTAGAGAGTAGAATGTTTCTCTCTCTCTTCCTGATCAATTGATAAATGGCTGATATTATTATTCCTGTAATTTTTTTTAAATAAAATGAGGCTTGAATTCCCTGTACATTTGGAAATTGGAGGATTTTTTTCCAGTAGTAATGAACTTGCATTATTCATGAAATATCTGAAAGTTCTCCGAACGACATTGAATATTCAGTTCTCATTTTTTTCCGTTCTCAAATTCTGCTGAATCATCGTCAAAGTCGCTCTTTGATTGATCCCTCTTCCTTCACTTGTTCAAATTGTGTTTCTGTCACTGAACAAGGACTGATTGAGGCGGAAGGATCCTGCGGATTTTCGTGTCGAAACATCGTATTTTTTTTAGAGAGAGGAAAAAATTTAATGTTTATTGTTCAAATTATTGAAAAATTGAAATCCAAGCAGGCTCCAAGTTTTTTTTTTTCTTTTTTACGGAAGTTTAATAGAAAAAATCTACATTTTTAGGACACAAATTTTTATTGTTGAAATTATAATCCGGGAAAGAAAAATTGAAATTCAAACACGCTCCTAGTTTTTTTTTTTTTTGCCTGAGGTTTATTAGATTAAAAAAAGCTGACATTTTTGGGGGGGGGGGGAAATTAAATCCAAAAACGCCCGACACTATTTTTTTCCTCTTAGTTTTAATGAAAATTGTGAATTTGTAGGTGAAAAAAAAGTGAAATAGTTTTCATAGTTCAAATTGTATAATCTGAGACGGTAAAATCGAATTTCGAACACGTTCGTATCATTATTTTGCCAGAGGCGTAATAAAAATTATACATTGTGTCGCAATTGCGATCACGGACCTTCGAAACCGGGAATTGCGTGCAATTCGGTTGTGTAGAATCGCACAATGACAAAAACGTCCTTCATTCCTGAACGTACGAGTACTGCGTTTATGTTTTCTACATGTGCTCGCGTCATGTCATTTCTTTGTACCGTATTTTGATCACGAATTGAGAGTGTGATGACCTGGAACCTTGAGGTTTTCTTACCTTTTGCGAGCTCTTGCGAATTGCCATTGCATTCGGCAGAATCGTCTCTGTCGAATTTGACGCGCAATTTTGGTGTTTAGAATGTTCAACGTGGGTGTTTTAAGAAAGTTACGAGGGTTGTCCCTGTCGGACGCGACCTCTTGATATTTCCTGCGTAGGTTANGTATTATGCAACACTTTATTCAGAAGCTTCTGACTTGTGCTTGAATTTAAGCGCCAACTCAGGTTTATAGCTTTCACCGTTTTTTTTTCTTTCAACTGTAAAGTGCTATGTTTTGAGAGAGTGAAGGAATTTTTATCATGTCTTAAAAATTTTCAAATTGAAGACTGGGTTTTTAAAAAATAAAATTTTATATTTCCCAACTCCGCATTTAGAAATTCAGCATCTTGTCAATCCTCCTCCACGTTCGACCCACAAGCTACTTGTATCAAAATAAATATATTCTTTATTTTAAAATGCCAGGAAATGGATTCTGAACAACTCTGTGTAAAATGGAAATCTCATCTAACTTCGGGGGGGGGGGGGGAGGGGTATACAAGTTTGGAGAGAGAATCCGAGGTGGAAGAAGATTTGTGGGTTGCGGATTTGTCAGATGGATGGACGGATGGTGTGGGTCCGGAATTCGGCCCAAGGCCCGCGCGGGGTGTTTGTCTTGACGCCGAAGGAATGTCTCCTCTCTTCTTCTTCTGAATTTGATATCGCCTTCGTTTTGTTTTAAATGATATTATTTTCGCGCCACCTCCGAAGCTTGACGTCTTGTTCCACGCGTCGTTTGCCGTCTGATGCGATGACCGGAGAAGTTGGTAAGGTGAGGTCGAAGAGGGTCATGGCCTTGATTCCTTCCTCGGGCGGCGATTGCGTTTCGCTGACGTGATTGAGCGGTAAATCTTCATTCCTCCCCACGCAGTCTGCGTTTTTTTTTTTTTTACAGGGTGGGAGAACAATCTTTTATTTTTTGGTAATATTTTTTTCTGCACCTTTGTGTTTGGCGAAATTTTGCGTGTTTTTAGAATTTGAGTGTCATTTTATTTTTTTTTTTTTGAGGAATTTTTTGGTTCTGGGAAAATTTGTGTGTCGTCACTGGGTGTGTAGAAGTCTATTAAAGGCAAATGAAACCTCTTAATTTGTGGGTCTTTTGGAAAAATGTTGAAACTAAATTGCGGAAGGTTTTTTTCAAGCAAATGATGCGCTAGAAAATTTTGGAAGCGTCTTATTTTTATTTCTAATTAAGTTTTATAATTGCTTCCGCAAAATACAATGCTGGAATTGATGATTGATGCTATAACAACTTATAGGATCTTCATTCCTCTACACACAATCGGTGTTTTTTATTTTCAGGGTTGGGTAACCACACTTGCTAAAAAAAAATTTCCCCTTCTTCTTTTTAGATTCCGCGTGCTTTTAGAATTTGAGTACGATTTTTTTTTAAAGGAAGTTTTGATGTAAACGTATGCAATGAGGGAAGATGCAAACGCTTGGATTTACTTCAAATCATTTTTAGTCTTGAGGAAAAACGTTAAAAGTAAATTTTGGAAGGGTTACTCGAACAAATGACGTACTAGAAAACGCTGGAAACGTTTTTGTATTTGTATACTTGAATTTTATGTTTTTTTTTCTGCAAAATCCAACGCTTTTATGATGGTTGAACAAATATCAACTCATTGGATCTTCATTCAGTCTCCAGAGAGTGAAATGTTGCTCTCTCTCTTCCTGATCAACTGATAAATGGCTGATATTATTATTCCTGTAATTTTTTTAAAATAAAATGAGGCTTGAATTCCCTGTACATTTGGAAATTGGAGGATTTTTTCCAGTAGTAATGAACTTGCGTTATTCATGAAATATCTGAAAGTTCACCGAACGACATTGAATATTCAAGTTCTCATTTTTTTTCCGTTCTCAAATTCTGCTGAATCATCGTCAAAGTCGCTCTTTGATTGATCCCTCTTCCTTCACTTGTTCAAATCGTGTTTCTGTCACTGAACAAGGACTGATTGAGGCGGAAGGATCCTGCGGATTTTCGTGTCGAAACATCGTATTTTTTTTAGAGAGAGGAAAAAATTTAATGTTTATTGTTCAAATTATTGAAAAATTGAAATCCGAGCAGGCTCCAAGTTTTTTTTTTCTTTTTTACGGAAGTTTAATAGAAAAAAATCTACATTTTTAGGACACAAATTTTTGTTGTTGAAATTGTAATCCGGGAAAGAAAAATTGAAATCCAAACACGCTCCGATTTTTTTGTGTGTCTGAGGTTCAATTACATTTTTGGGGGTGAAATTGAAATCCAAACACGCTCGACTCTATGTTTTCCTCTTAGGTTTAATGAAAATTGTAAATTTGTTGGTGAAAAAAATGAAAAGTTCATATAGTTTAAATTATAATCCGAGACGGTAAAATCGAATTTCGAACACGTTCGTAACATTATTTTGCCAGAGGCGTAATAAAAAATTATACATTGTGTCGCAATTGCGATCACGGACCTTCGAAACCAGGAATTGCGTGCAATTCGGTTGTGTGGAATCGCACAATGACAAAAACGTCCTTCATTCGTAGATGTACGAGTACTGCGTTTATGTTTTCTACATGTGCTCGCGTCATGTCATTTCTTTGTACTGTATTTTGATCACGAATTGAGAGTGTGATGACCTGGAACCTTGAGGTTTTTTCTTACCTTATGCGAGCTCTTGCGAATTGCCATTGCATTCACGTCTTAGCAGAGACAGCTTAAACTGCGCGTTAAAACCACAAATCTTACAAGTTGCACCCACAAAATTCTTTCAATGCTCCCAACAGGGACAGCCTGCGCTGGAGAACTATAAAGGACGCATCCAATATTGTATAAAAAGTAATAATAAATAAATAAACATAATAACATAGCCCATGATCTTGTAAGGTTCAGGGATTTTGTTTTCCACTTTGAAAAAGATCAAAAAATTCCTTTCGAAAAAAGTTTGACAAATTTCACTAGAATTTTTTGAAGAAAAAAAAGTATGTACTGTATACTGCAATGTACATTTTATTACGAAATATTGCAAATTCACTCAAGTGCAAAAGTCTACTTGCTATCACCCCTAATATAATTACGAATGGAAGGATGGAATTCCGCTTTTTGAAAATGACTTCAATTTCTGTATGTGAAATGAGATTCTGAAATGAAAACAATGAAATTGTAAAACTCTTATTTGCCTAGCCTTCTATGTTTTCATGAGGTCTAAAAGTTGTAGAGGAAATCATCAGATTAATTAATGGATTTAATTAATCTTTGGGAGAACCAGTGGGAGGGATACATTTCCAGGGAAATACATTTTCTAATAGCCCTTAGCCGTAAAGAATTCTCTTGATTTTTTCCTGAATAAGTCTGTATTAGTGAGGATCAAAACAAGTTCTTCGTGGTGGGACTTGGAAGTTTTTCACTTGAGAAAGGGGACGTTCTGTGATGTTGGGTTGAAAAATTATATCTTTTAGATTTCCTATAGAGAGGAGTTTCACTTTTTCTTCAACCTGAATGTCTGCTGCTGAGGTTTTCAGTGTTTCATTCTGAGAAATTCTATGAGCTTCTTTTTTCATCCAAAGGAGGAAGCATTTATTTTTGTTTTGATCGTCAATTGTTTTTTTTTTCTTTTTACATGGAATACTCTTTCCTAGAAGCATTGATGTAACTAGTTGTACAGGGTCCTGGCCGCATTCGATGTGTGTACATTTTTCGTGTCAATTAGTGGCATTCTTGGGAAGTCATTAGGGTTATTGTTCCACAACACTAATTGGAGGGGATGTTGTGTTTCTTAAGAGTGGATATACAGCAGTATTTGGTGCGGAGGTTGGCAATCCTGAACGTTTTCAAGCAAGCCCTTGAACTTGGACTTCTCAATTTTGCCAATTGTCTTTGCAATTTACGCTTGGTTGCGTTCCAGAATTCCAATTAGCTTTTCAGGACATGAATCTTGTGTTCAAAGACTTTAGAAGGATGAGAATACTGACCGCAGATTATTATTTTTTCATTAGTTATTCTACATCTGTCTAAATTGGCAATCATGAGTGGATGAAGTGCCTCATTCTTTTTCACCCAAGTTCTTATGTTGCATTGGAATGTGGTGATTATTGTTGCTGAAGGTTTTTTTTTCTTCTTCTTTGTCTTTCCAGAACGAATCACATGAACAAGGGCAAGGCCCAAAGGGATCGTCGGAAGCTTCGCGAGAAAAGGCGATCAACCGGTGTTGTCCACCTTCCATCAACCGAGGTTTGTGTCAATCACATTTTTTTCTCGAATTTTCCGCTTCAGAAATGACATTCTGGAAGTTATTGACGGTGTGAGAAATCGTCAAGTGGTGCGGATGCCGGATTTTCTACATCCGTTCAACTTTCCCACCGATTTTGTGTAGGACTGCGTTTGATGACTCGTGGCGTAAATGCGTTTGAACGGAACCGTTGAGGTTTCGTCGGCTGTGAATCATGTTCATGCGCAATTGTTCAGAAATGTTGAATGTTCGAATCGCCTGTTTGGGATACATTCCTCGTTAGTGTGTGTTTGGAGAAGGTGTTCGGAATATTCTCGGAATCTGCAACCGTGAAGAGGAAAGTTTCCCATGTTGTGCATTCTTGTGAAGCGAGAGAGTAACGAGCTTCCTTTTCGGAAAACATTGTGACAGAGGGCTTAAGCGCCTTGACGGATTCAGAACCGGGGGATTTTTCGGTTGATGTGCGTCTTAAATCTTACCTACGTGTCTCATTAATGGTTAATTATCTGCGTATTTGAGGAATGAAGGGCCGTTTCAAGGCGAATTCTCCTTCACAGCGGGTGGAATACTCGGAACAGTACAACTGTTACTCGAGCCGCCGACGGGATATCCGATCAACTAGTCGATCCCCCCTCAGTTCGGAGAGTCGTTCAAGGAACTTTTGTTACTACAGTACAGTATTCCACTAGCGTGAGATGTCGTTTTTATTGCGACTTAGTTTCGTCTTAGCCTTTTTTCGGAAAAAGGGTTTCGGAAAGGAGTTAAGCCCTGAATGGAACGGATCATCCGACAATTAGCGTTATTGCCGCCGGGTTTTCGTCCTAGAGTTTTTCGGGATAAGGGTCTCGAGGAGGAAGTAAATCCTGAACGGAATTGATCATTCGATTTTCATTGTTGGGCCTTTTTTTTTTCTTGTTGGCGTATTTCATGAGAACGGGTTCGGGAAAGAAGTAAATCCTGAAGGGACTGATCATCCACTTTTTCATCGTGAATGCGACTTTGTTTTCGTCTTAGCTTTTTCCATCAGATGGGTTTCCGGGAGGAAGTAAACCTAATTGAAACTGATCAGCTTATCCTTTCGCGCGTCTGCATTAACGCTAATGTTCTGTTTGTTCCATGTACCTTTCAAGTATGTTAAATCCAAGTGTATGGTGTTATTGATTCTCAGAAAAGACATCGTTTGTTCGTCGAACTGAAAAGGATGTTTTCTGACGAATTTGAGAGTAAGACGCTGTGTTCCATCCCTCCTTTGAACCAAGAGGCGGATGAATTGGATGCTACCAAGACTTCTCGAGTGTAATTACTGTAATAGCATTAACGAGCTGCAAGGGAAGGCTCATCTCAAGTTTCTTTTATGTAAACCTCTTGATCATGTCACTGATCAGAGGGAACACTTCGGCGAGCAAAGTTGGCAGATGCTTTCACGGGTACGGAGTTCAAATAGTCAGTTTTCTGCATTCAGTTCGGAAGATGGTGTAGGTTAATTTTATCTTCGGCCATTATTTCACGTGGTATTCCAAAAAGCCATCTTGGATTTAGTGTACGATTATAAACGGGGTGAAAATGCATTTTGTATTCTTGTCAATCCTGTATCTTGCGGACGTTGATGAATCAACTTTTCGTGTTGAATATTAGGCATTTTGGGATTGCTTTGGGTTTGACACCAAGCTTGTTTTCTTGGCAGTCGACTGGTGGAAGCACAGGAGAAGACGAAGATGAAGATTGTGGAGCTGCGGAGACACGAAAGAACACCCAACATAACGAGTTTGCCTCGGATTCAATGCATTCCAAGCACGGCCAGGTGCGAATCTAGTTTTTATCTTATTGTCAGTTACTCGAGGTTTTGATTAGCCGATTGTCAGACGCCATTTTGTATTCCGTGTCGTTAGAATGCCGACAATTTTGCCAACGAATCTAAGACGTTTTTTTTTCGATAAAAATCGATTAGTTTTCGATTCTTCTTATGCTTCGGAATGCGCATACCAGCCGAATGTGATTCAGTAAACTTGAATCTAAATTCGAACGCGTGCGCATTTGAACTAAAAAAATGGGATTCGTGTACATATCTGAAGATTTCATTCTAAATTATTGTGCTGAAATCACGCGGATCTTCAGTGAAGTTCAAAGGCGTTCCGATTTCTTGAAGGTTATTTTTATTTACGAAGTCTTATTTTTTGAGTGAAGGCGGTATTGAATACAGTATTCTAAAGCGTGAACTTCTGTGATTATTTATCTAGTTATAAATATCTTTCTTCTCTGATTGCCTAATCTCTTTTTCCGACGTTGAAAGCCGTTCTGGTCACGACGTTGTTGATCTAATTTTTGCGACTCACGTTTTTACTATACTTTTTTTCTTTTTTGGTCCGCAGGACGCCGTCAGAGAACACTTGAAACTTCAGCACACGAGGTAATTGATTTTTGTCGTGGTTGATTGTATCTGTGTTTCAATTATCCCGGTTTAATGGTTTCTCGTGTGGGAATCAGCCGAGAATGATTGATTCTGTAATCCTTGGGGCACGTTTTTAAAATTCCAATGTGTTCGAGCTTCGTTGACGATTCTGTGTGCGTCGGGAGTATCCAGATTGATGTAAATCCATAAATTTTCAAAACAAAAATTACTTCCGAAGTACAGTGGTAAAATATTCATTTTCTCGAAAATATGGCGAAACATTTTTGAACGTATCGAGTTTCTCCTGAAATTATGCGAGTCTTGAATTTTCATTTTTCCGAAAAAAAAAATACCACATCATGATTTCATATATTCTCTTCCATTTTCAAAATTCAAAAGAGCGAAGTTCGGGATTCATATACTGTACGTGTTTGCTGGCAGAAATTATCTTACATCTAAATTTCGAAATTTGTGAAGGGAAGAAGAGGCGGAAATATCCCCTTTCTATTTTTTAAATTTTTTAAGATTCAGTCGAAACATTTTTGAATATTGATTATTTTTGAGCCATGACTTTTTTTTTGTGTGCGGGAATTCGCTGTAAATTATTTTAGCCAAAAAATAATAATAATGATGGCAGCATGAGTCGGAAAATGGCGGGCATTGTGCAAAGAATTCATTTCAGTGCACCCGTTGAAATTCCTGGTTCGGGAAAAGGTTATGGTTCCGCCTGTCAGAATATTCTTCGTTCTTCAGGAAGTCATTCAAATCAAGAGATCAATTTCGAAATCCCGAGACAGATATTGCTGTTCGCGGGGGCCTCAGTCAGTCTTAATTGAATGTCTCGAGGCAAGGCTACTGTGCTGCGCATGTTTCCGGCGGACATCGTTAACACACACGCACACAAAAAAAAATGAAATGAGAGAACGACTGATATCATTGAGTCGTGGGGAGAACGAGGTTAGAGCAAATCAATTATTATTTGAGGCTCAGTTCGCGAAGGGGAAATTATTTGGCTCTGCGGTGCACGCTCATTAAATGCGCCTGGGTTTGTTGCTTCGAAGGGCAGGCTGATGAAAAAGTCATCCTCATTACTGTGTCTTTTATTTCATCTCCATTCCATCGGCTTTTCCCTTCAATTTGTTCCGTGTAAATTCGAACGACTTGTTTTCGTTCATTGACACTTTACGAGGGATGCTATCCTTAAATTCTTCACTATTTTTGTCCAATTTCTGTGTTTATCTCTTTTTTAAATTTTAATCTGGGTCGATGTTAAAGTTTAGTTATGGCTGCCTCCGTCATTTAGAATTTTTTTCAACTTTTTGAAATCCGCAGGAAAATATTTTGACCCTGATTCTAGTACCATTGGATTGATGTTAACTAAGTTACGATGCCTATTTTATAATTTAGATTCGAGTGGAAGTAAGATTTGTAAGTTCGTCCAAATTGAGTAAGTTCAAGACTAAAAATTGTACTTTTTCTCAAAATACTACGCTGGCTAAAATGTATACAACTTTTTGAGTAATAGCAATAATATTTTAGGCTTTGCTTGACTTGATTTGAAATATAGAACGGAATTTTTTTCACATTTTAATAATGCAGTCAAATACTGTAACTGGCTTTGATTATGACCAGCTTACCTCTTCTTTTTATTTACAGGAGCAAGAATATCTCCTTTCTTCTCTATTAAAGTGAAAAATTATTGTGGACTTCTATTCATAAAATGGAGCGAATATTTTAATTTCAAATTTAAATAATGCCGTCAAATATAACAGCCGTTGAGTGACGTGAACCAACTTAACTTTTCTATAAGAAAAATAGTATTTTCTCTCTTCTGTATTAAAGTAAAGAATCTTTACTCTTCTTATCTTTAGTTTCTGACTAAATAGACTAAGTATAGAGAAAAATCTTTTTGTGGAAAGATATTATTTTTAGAGGAAGATAAAATTTACTACAGAAGAACTTCCCGGTGGAAATCTAACAGGCCAAGCGCAAGTGCTGTGATTAAATGTGTTTAGGCACACATTGTTTGCAGGGATACGGTAATTTCGATTGGCTCTATAACTTTAAAATGCCCATGAAAATAAGATATTCCGAATTTTTATGGCTTAACATCCAAGAATAGTTCTGTATGAAAATACAATAAAGTATAAGAACACGTTCAGTTTCAATGATTTGCACTTCCATAAAGCCTAATAGATGGGAATAGAGCGTGTTCAACAAAATATATTAAGAAAGTGAGAAACTTCACTGTAGTGAAAATGTTGAGTACATATGAACTGAAGATGCAGTACTGTAGTACAACAAAAGCAAATTCAAGGCTTTCCTGTTGAAATTAAAATGCGAACCTCTAAATGAAAAACGAGATTAGCTTAAAATATAATTATCTAAAGCGCGAATTACTTGACTAGAACAAGAATCATTCCCAGGAACATATTTTTCGAACTCAAAATGAACAGAATACTCCCCAAAATTTTTGGACTTGAAACTTGGACCGTATAAATGTTTGTTAGCCAAGACCCCACTGTATTTTTAAATGAAATTGTATCCCTTTTTTATAATCGAAGGCAAGAACTTTTCGAAAGCCCCCCTCAAGGACAATGAATCCATCATTCGTTCGGCGAAAGAGGCGAAGACAGCGTCGAAAAAAAAATATAGGAATTAAGAATGCGGACGCGTAGGAAAGAGGGATTTTTTTGAGTGACGTTTGTTGCATGGTTGGTTTTTCCCCCCTGCAGTGCGTCGGATTTGGAGGCGGACGACGAGGAGAATGGCGCCTCAGGGTCGCGCTCGTCGGCCAACAACGATGAGGATTCTCCAGCTCGTGAAAATGGCGCCGTTACCGTCGTTCCTCCCGTGGACCCTCGACGTTCCGACGACGTTTTTGTGAGTGTGAGGTCCTTGAAGGAGGACGGACCCCCTGTCGTTTTTTTGGCGGAAGGATATGCGCTTAGTTGACTTGTATCAGACTTCACTTGATGTGTTCGTGTGTGTGTGCGTGAAAATTTGCGATTTTTATATGCGGTAATGTGCTTTGGTCTAATTGGGCAACACATTTATTTTTTTTTAATTGTAGGTACTGTATTTATAAATTTTACAAGCGTACGGAAGTTTATCGAGTTTATTTTTTCTTTACTAGCGAGGAAAGCGTTTTCTTCCAGCTCTAATGTTCTTCGATGAAACACGCCAAAATATGCCCTTTTTTGCATGAGAAAGAGTCCAAAAAGAAAGAAAGAAAAAAACAAGCTAAAATTGTTTGGTACTGAACACAGTTGATGGGAAACGCTGAAAAGAGGAGCAAAAAATTAACCTGTTCAGGATTATGAATTTGAGTAAATTTATAATGTTTCGATTTTTGTCCATAAAAGGGACTTGTTTTTTTATAAGGTGTGTCACAATTTTGATGAATGAAATTTTTTCAAAATTTCCTGGATATGTAGGCAAAGTATTCATATCTTTAAACACTGTCAGTATTTTTTGGTAGATATTTTGATTTGAAAATGTTCATAAGTCAAATGATTCCATGTGTTGGGGCTCTAGTGTAAGCTATGTGCATATATGTAAGCGCTTGAATCTTGTTACAAAAAATCTTGTTGTAACTAAATATTGCTTACAGAAAATTTGCTAAAGTCACTGCTGCCCATAGCCATAATGTTATTTTAATTGCCATGCAACAAATTTATCTTTATTTTGTAATGAAACATTTTTTTCAGGTACCAGAAGCTTTGTTGTACTGTAACAAGATTTTGCTGTATATATAATCCCAGTGCAGTGGGTCCCCACAAGAAAGAACCTATCTTTTCCTGGATGCATTCCGTTGTATTTATTATTTTTTTTAATTCAAAATGCTCTTTTCCGAAAAGATAACATGATGAATAATTTGATCAGTTCCAAGCCTTAACCGGAAGACCATGATAACCCTCAAAAACTTGATTTTGTTAGCTTTCAACAGCAGTCAGTGAATTTATTGATTGGTTCATGTTCGATTCAAGTAATTTTGAAAAGTGTGTGCCCTCAATTTTTTGAATTTCACTAATTTTGAAGACAAGAAAAGGCAAACGTTTCATCTCATTTTATAATTTTCCTCGATTTTTCTGAAGTTCCACAACTTACAATACAATAATACAAAATACTGTACAATATTTTTGGCAGAGAAAAATCGTATTTTGATTATAGTGTAACAATTTCGTCGTAGATCACGTGTTTCCCCTCAGAATTTTTCTTGCGTTGGTATTTTGTCAAGTGAGGACTTCCTGTACAATACTTAACAGCATAAAGCTGTAATTCATTCCAATTGCAGGATTTAAACCGTACTTCATGTGGCCATATTTTTTCATCGTGTGTTTATGTTTTAGATGTTGTTGGAGCGATCGTTGGAGGAGAACCAGAAACTTTCGCAAATGCTTGAAGCCCGTGACAAGGAAGTGGCCGCGTTGTCAGCATCTCTTCAGCAACTCAAAGCACGAATGGGCCAGACAATCGACGAATCCTCAAGACTCCGCGAAGAAAACGCTGCCCTCATCAAAGCCATGGGATCGTTGTCAAATAACGATTGAGAAGAACAAGATACAGAAAAAAAAAGAGTTTGTGACGTTCGCTTGCCGTATCAGTCGTTTCATGTATCCGTTTCTCGCACGTACGATTTTTTTTTTCAATTGGCTTCACTCTACGGGGTGATTTATTTTTTTTTCGATCTGATGCTGGTGTATTATTTTTTGCGACGCAAAAGCCGAGTTGCAGTTTCTTTTCTTTTTGCGAATGATCCTGAGTGTTGGGATGAGACGCGAAGAGTTGGTGTGATTTCGAACTGTGGGGTTTTCTCCTTCCTTTTTTTTTTTTTTGTTCCAGGATGGGGCCAGTGAGAAAATTGTGAGCTAATTAATATTTTGTGTTTTTCGAATATTTGGAAGTTCGCACATCGCCCGTAACACTGGTTTTTTTTTATGTTTTCAGAGGTTTCGTGAGCCAAATTCGATTCGCTGAGTTTTGATTTCCTTCCAAATTGGTATCTGAGGGATTTATCTCATAATTTGTAGTATGATTTATTTTTATTCGCTAGAAAGTTATCACTGGCGGTTTTTTTTTATCGAGGTAGTTGATACGATTCTGTTCGTGATTTTAAGCACGCGGTCCCAACTCAATGATTTTTTTTACACTGAGTAGATGTCGCCTGTACAATTTGTTGCTCTCGAAGCATTGTATTCTACAGTATCTAAGCTCAGTTTAGGTTGGGTTGTAAGTCGAGTTAATTAGGACTACTTGAGTTTCAGGTATTTGGATTGGTCTGTTTTAAGCAGGCTGGTCAGACATTTTCTTCAGAGTTTTTACACTTGTCTCTAGATTGTGCAGCATTGCCTTGTGCTGAACGAAGTCAACGAACATTTTAAATTACGGATCTATCCGAAACTGTTTTATGCGTCCCAGATAATTAAAGGTCCAAATGTTTCCCTGCTCTCGAAAAAAAAAAACTAGTGTATATTAAAGTTCGGAGAATTTTTGTCCGGTTTGTGATGAGGCGAAACCCTTCTGACATTTCGGGAGCCTGGATGGAATGTTCCAACACTAGCAGCTTTCTTTGATGGTTCAGGAAGATTTACATGTTTGAATAATTTTCCATTAATTATGTTTATAAATTATGTCTTCCAAGCCTTCTAATTTTTGCCTTTGTAATAGTGTATTTGTGTTCGTAATTCAACGGATTAGATTTTTTTGTCTGTTACAACTTTGATTTCAAGTTTGTATGCTTAATTTTTTAAATTATAGATTCAGCCTTTTGATTTTTTTTTCTGCTAAAATCAAAGCTTACTCTCTCTCCACTTGGCCCCAAAAAAGAACTTCAGGAATTTGGTGACAGATGGTTGAAATGATTTCGCGGTATTTGATTATTTTTGGTTGTTGTCGCGTTGCAGCTTGGAGAAATGATCGTTAGATGGCGTCTGGACGAAGGTACAGTAGTTCCTGTAAATGCTGTTCCAATCAGCGTTTTTATTGCTTGAAACATTCCTTGCAGCATCTTGAAAGGATGACTCTCCTCGGTTACAAATTCAGGATTCATTTGAGGCAGCTTCTTTTTTAGTGTGATTCGGAACAAATTCTTGGACTTTCCTGAATGATGGTTTTGGATGATTTTTTTATTGCACTTCTGTCGAGGACAATTTCGAATGATTATGTGATGATGCTTAATCGTGAGCCGAAATTTGTCCGGTCGCATTGGGTGCAAAAGGAACTGATTTTTCGATTCTTTAGGGGAGAGAGACCAAACTTGTCGAATAGGATTTAGACAAAAAATGACCTTTTCAGACTGCTTATCAAGATGTTCATCGTCGGAAGAAAATTTGAAATCATTTTTAGAATGATGAAAGTTCCCTGAGCTTGGCGTCATTTCGGAGCCATTGTCGATCGTGGTTTTCTTTCTCGAGGGCAGCCGTCGACAGGATCTCGCCAGTATTGCCGAAATTTTTTCCGCGTCCATTGTCGCACTTTCCATGTTTTTCCCCTGAGATTCATTGTGAAATGCATTGGAAACATGATTTTGAAGCTGAGCTCGTCCGTTGGTCTCATTTTTTGTGTAAACTGGTGAGTGGTTTCTCATACAACCAATCTGAATTCCAACGATTGGTTTGATGCAATAAGTGGCACTTCATACAGTATGGATTTTTAAATTCAATACAAACCTGTATGGAACTTGGGAAAATTAATTTGCCTTTACCCCTTCTGTGGCAAATGATGCGTTTTCTCTGCATGAAAAAGGTGCGTTTTTCAGAGACTGCTCTACATAATGACGATTTACTGCACAGAATCCCAAAACTCCCCAGTTATGGATATTTTATTATACAGTAATTGCCACCCATTGGGTTTGTCAGAAGGATAAATTAATTACTATGATGGTTTCTGTATGTTGTTTTCACAGCTTGAAAAATAGAGGAGAACGCTGAAAAAGAGATGTTCGAGAATCGCTAAAACCAGATGAGTATTTCAGCTTTGCGTGAGCGCCTTCTAACTTAATGAAGATCTTTTAACAACGGATTAAGCTCCATACACCTTACTTCCCTGTTTTTGTACCAACTTTATGACATTCGACCTCTTATGTTCTTGGAACTTGTAATTTCGTCGTCCATGTGAACATGTATTCCGTCCAGAATACAAGAACCTTGAACATTAAAGCAGCAGGTACACTTGTACATAAGGCAGGTTTGTAGATGAAACAACTTTTTGATATGTAGGACTTCCCACACATTTTATGCATGTTTCCTTTAAAATTTTTAGAAAATTGTTGCCTAATTCGAGGTATGTGGAATGAAGGGACAAAAACATGGTTGAAATACTGTAAGCTGGAGAATACAAGAACCTTGAACATTAAAGCAGCAGGTACACTTGTACATAAGGCAGGTTTGTAGATGAAACAACTTTTTGATATGTAGGACTTCCCACACATTTTATGCATGTTTCCTTTAAAATTTTAAGAACTTCTTACATATTTTTTTTAATCAGTCACATTTAATTTTGAGAATCCTGATTATGTTACCTCCTCTAAAACAAAATGATACAGTGAGACACACCTTGACCTGTGGACAATTCAACGTATGGACACTTATTTTATAAAAAAAAATTAATAAAAAAGGCCCAACATGAGGACACTGACTCAACATATAGGGACATTTTGCTATAAAATTACAAATACATTTCAGGCCAAATTACAAGAAACAGATATTTCCAACTCACAATAATTTTTCAAGAAGAGGAAATCATAGTCATCGTTGTAAATACTGTACATTATATTGCACCGTTCTGAGAGCAGTCATTTCTCGTGGAGGAAAATTTCACGATGAAATTTAAATTAAAATTATATAATGTAAGTCTAAGGGAAAATGAGACTTGACTTGAGAACATTTTGAGTTAGGGACACTCTTGATGCACCAATTACATCCGCATCTTGGGGTCTCACTGTATTTTAAGTTCTTATTACTGTATTGTTTTCAAGGGCCACATCCTGTCAATTAAAATTTTAAAAGTTGTTTTGTTACAAACTGAGACCTGTCATTCTTTAGAAATTATTTCATGGCTAAGAGAATATACCCTGCGAATCTATTTATCAAATTGAAAGCTCATTAAATGCATATGTGAGGAAATATTATGCAAATGTTGAACAACAGAGAATATGATTTTGAACAAATGGTGAATGATTAAATACTGTACAGTACTATACTACTGTATATACAATATTTCCTGTCCGGTACGCGAGTGAAAAACACCGCACATCTGGCAGACCTTTGCTGAATTGCTTAATGAGCATTATTTGAGTTGGTGAATATCGAATTTTTGTCCGCGAACTGTGAGGTCAAACGATCAAACAATTTCGGGCAATGTGAATACGGCGTGATGGATTTTGTGCAGTAACGTGGACATATTGTCAACGGAAACGAAGGGCGAGTTTTTTTTTTATGCGAATCCTGTAGGTGAGACGACTGTTCCAACAAGGCTAACTCATATTTCATCGCTTCATTTTTCAGGGGTTTCTTCTTTGTGTGCATGACATCGAAGACCTGTTCGCGACTTTGATAAAATCGCATTGGTATCGGTGCGATGTCAACGTCGGACGATGGGCCAGTCCGCCGATCAAGACGGAATCATGACAGCTTCCAGCAAATCATGGAACGTGTTAAACCAACTCGGAAGCCGACTAAAACATACAGCCCGCGAGGCCGTCGTCCCAAGGCATCGCCGTCCGCTCTCACATCCGAAGGTGACGCAGTGCATCAAACGTGTTCTGAAAGTAGCATTAACCTGAGTTCAAAACGAGTGCAACTACCTGAGCGAATAGAGGACGCACCGGACGTCGTCCAGGTGAACGGGTGGATTTTGGAACCTCTTTTGGGTACCTCAAGCCGTTCGAGTCCGACCTCTGTTGACTCACTGCACTCTGCTGAGGATGTGTTTGTATGCGATACAACCGATGTGAAGTCCGCGAGTGACACCGTGATCCATAATAGCAATTCGCCCGTTGTTGAAAGTCAGTGTGCCGATAGTGATGCTGTGCCCGAGGCTGTTGTAGAAGAGTCTATTGAGCATTCTCCTGAGAAGTCCGCCGAATCTGATTCCGAAGTGATCATTGATGGAACTGTCGAATGTCCGGAATATTACAGCGAAGACCACAACGAGTCTGTCCCGGATGCGTGCGTCGAAGAAACAATCGGCTCTTCGGAAAGTGAAGATGATTCGCCGGTAAACGAGCTTCCTCTTGAAGATTCCACCGCGTCTAGTAATATTGAAGAACACGCCTCATCTGACGATGAAGACAAAAGTGGTTCTTCTTCTGACTCATCTGAGTCGGCCGAGGATTCCCAATCAGACCACGAATTTCCCTTCGATGATCCGCAACCAACACCAAAGACGCAAATCCGATCATCTCTTATATCTAAGATCATTGTTTCTAGCAGCCAGTCGAGTCCACCGCCGAAAATTTTCGGGGATCGTGAAACTTCAAGGATTATCGTTCGTCTTGGTGAACCTCCTGACAACTTGGAATTCTCCGACACAGCGATAGGTATGCCAACTCATTACCTTATTTATATTTCCTAATTATGATCACGATTGATTTATTTTGTATGGAATTTTAATTTAAATTTCATCGTGAAATTTTCCTCCACGAGAAATGACTGCTCTCAGAACGGTGCAATATAATGTACAGTATTTACAACGATGACTATGATTTCCTCTTCTTGAAAAATTATTGTGACTTCTTATTACTCCTGAGGTAATCACTTATTTTTGAATGACGCGTACCGAAACCTGGGAATGATTTTTGTTTTCTGACATTGTTTAATTTAGCCACGAACAATGAGGATTCGACGCAGAATGCATCGGCCTCTTCCAAAGACCAAAGTGAAGAGTCTTCAAATTCCGAAACCGTCGAACCGATGAAAGACGAAGAACCAGTCAGTGCCGCAAGCGAAAAACCTTTTCCGAGTTTAGATACGAAAGAAAACTCGCACATTACCCATGCTGAAAAGGTGCCCAAGGCTGAGATTAGAAAAGTCGTCGAAAATTCATCGAAGAGTGTGAAACAGAAAGAAAAAGAAGCTCCGCAGATCGAAGAAGTTCACGTGGACTCGGACACAGCTGCTGCTGGTCACGATTCCGACACGGATGGCTCCTCCGAATCCTTGATTCTTCCCAAGAAATCAGTGGAACCCTCGGGTTACAAAGAGAAGCACCATAAGAGGAAGCAGTCCCACAAGGAAAAGCGGAAACACAGTCACCACGATAAACATCGTCGCGGTCATTCCGAAAAAATCAAGTCCGACAAAGATAAAACCAAGGAGAAGGAAAAAGAGAAACCCAAGCCTCCCAAAACTGAGGCAGCCCCTAAAGAGAAACCCAAACCTCCTCCTCCTGCTCCTGCTCCTGTTCCTGTGCCTCCCAAGAAGATAGAGTCTATGAAGAAGGAAACACTGGCGAAGAAACTACCGAAGCCACAAAAAGGGAGCTTGTCATCAAAGGTGAAATCGCAGCTACAGTTCAATCAAACATCTTCAGGCATCACTGACCTTGTCGGGGCTATTCTAAACCTCGACACGCCGATCTCACAGCCGAAACAACCTCCACCACCTAAAATCGAGAAACCCTTTACTCCTCCTCCAAAGCCCGATAAATTACCGTTTTTAATCAAGTACGAAGAACCGGTTCCTTCGGAAAAGCCACCACCTGCACCACAAATGATGGAACCTTTCCTGAGTGTTCCACCCGAGCCACCACCCGAGATTCCCAAGTTCGACGCATCAGTGCCTCCGCCGGATTTCCCGAAAGTGAGTCCATTTGTGCCTTCGTTGTCGACGGACGACCTGAAGGCCATCTTGGCGAAAACGGTGAAAAGTGATCCGAAACCCGTGGTGAATTCGTTTTGGGAAGCGGCGCCGGCGCCAGTCAATCCCTTGCCGACGCGGAACAGTTTACCGGACGTCATAAGTAGAGTCGCCGCTGAGAATTCCGACTCGGATGAGGACGATGTGGCGGCGATTCCGGAGCCGCCCCTGCCGCCGAAACCTGCTTCAGTTGCTCTCACGTCGAATCCACCAGTGATCCCTTCCAACATTTTCGACGTCCTGGCGTCCATAAAATCCGTCATCGTTCCCCGCGAAACACCGAAAGTGGACGACAAAAAGGACGAAGATGAGGAAGAAGAGGAAGAGGACCAAGAAATGGATAATGAATCGTTACCCGAAGAACAAGCAGTGAAGCCATCTCGAGAGCCTGATAAGAAAGATGTGATGGAAGCTGAGGAGATTGTTTCGCGGTCGCCGGCTGTTGCGCAGGAGGAATTCTGGGCTGGAGAAGCTGTTGACGTGACGGTGGATGTGCCTAATTTTTCTTTGATTGAAACTAATGCTTACCTCACTGAGAAGAAACGGAGCAAAGAGGGGAAGATACTCTGTGATTGTACGCTGACTGTTGAGGAGCTTCAAGACGGAGTCGTTGGCTGTGGAGATTCGTGTCTGAACCGCATGCTCCTCATTGAATGGTTAGTTCAGGCTTTTGCGAAAATAATTCCCGTTGTTTCTGCAGTAGAAATCCAAATTATAATTATCGAATACCAGGGATGGGTCTCATTTTTCAAATAATATTTCATGCGAAGAAAACGTCTGTTCAAAAAAATAATCTGATGCAAAAGGTAATTTGAGGTCGCCTGTCTTCAGTGAACGAACCGAAATTATGGCTGATGTTCACACGGAATTTGTATCCCCTTGTTGATTATTCAGGTGTGAATGAAATAAAAAATAAATGAAGGAACGGTTAAAGACAGATGATTATAATTTAGAAATCACCATTTTCTGTATTCAGGACGCTGATTTTTTTTTCGCAAGATTTTTCAACAAAGAGTTTTGTTCTTCTGCCTTTTAGATCAGTATTTGCACCGCATTTATCGAATTTTTATTCAATTTTGCTTTAAATGTGGTTGGAAGAATCGTCAACTTTTCCACTGCGTAATAAAACTGCAGTAAGGATCCCTGTACGGATGAATTCTTGCTTTAGATATTTCTAAAATCAATTTTGCTCAAGATTGGATTCAATACATTTTAGGATTAAATTAACGCGTTTCTTTCCATATTCAGCGGGTCAAGATGCAAGTTGGGCAACTTGTGTACAAACAAAAATTTTTCCCTGCGGAGAAATGCGAAAGTCGAAGTATTTAGGACCAGTTGGAAAGGACTCGGTTTACGGGCTCTTGAACCAATAACTCAGTGAGTACCGTATACGATTTTTGAATGACTTTTTTTTTAATTTGTGAATTGCCGAGATTATCTTTCATTTATTTATGCTTTAGATTTGAGTGTCGGTTATTTACTGCGGAGTAGATGCATGTTTGTGTGAAAACATCTGGCAGGATTGGGTGCTCTGCTTATATCTTTTGCTGATGTTCGTTTCTATTTATTCTTCTTTTCTTCGCAGAGGATCTTTCATCATCGAGTACGTGGGGGAAGTCATTAGTGCACAGGAGTTTGAAACGCGTCTGACGAAGATGAATGCCAGAGGACAAACGCATTTCTACTTTATGGGTCTGCGAGCGGATCAATTCGTCGACTCTCTCAAAAAGGGCAACGTATCACGATTCATCAATCATAGTTGCGATCCCAATGCGCAAACTGAAAAGGTCTGTAGTGTCTAGATCATTTTATTTTTCTTCCTCTTTTTGTTGTAAAAATCGACGTTTTTTTGTGAAATGTAAGGCAGGTATGAAGTTTGTGTAAAACCTGACCCAAATGTCACCAATTCAACCAAGTCTGTCCGGACTTGAGAAGCGCTTTTAAATTTTTATCGTCTCGATGATGCTGTCTTTTTTATCTTCTGGTCATAGAGTTGGATTTAGCTTTCTGAAATCATCAGTGGGTGTCGGCTGAATTAATTATTCAGTCAGAAATGACCAATCGAAGCTAAGCACGTTTAAATTCTTGTCTTCATCAATTTTACAGAAGCCGTTTTACGGAAAATTCCTGTAGATAAAGCTGAAAATATATTTTCAAATTCAGGTGACGCTTACGTATTGGTTTAATTTTTGATTGAACAAATGTTGGTATTAAAAGCCCGCGAATCCAAGGACGTCAATCGTCAATTAAGAAATAATCGTGAATTTAATCGACACAAAGAATTAATGTAAAAGTGGATTATGAACTTGACATCTTCATCTAGAAATTCAGGCATGTTTTAAATTTGTCTCCTATTTATTCATTGAGCCTAATGTATCTTTTTATTTTCTAGTGGACCGTGGGAGGAGAATTGCGAGTGGGATTTTTTGCGAAGAAACGGATCAACGCGGGGGAAGAGATAACTTTTGATTATCAGCTGCAGAATTACGGTCGTGAAGCGCAAAAGTGCTATTGCGGCTCTGCGAATTGCAGAGGAGTCTTGGGGTCTTCGCAAAAGTCCTTCTTTATGCCGAGGAAGGGCTCGAAAGACATCGGGTTTTACACCGCGGATGACGATGACGTAAGTTTTGCTTGCAGAAAAGCATCGTCAATTTATCGAGTATAATTTTGAATAAATTGTTAATCAAGACTGTTATTTACTATATGTCACACCTTTCCTCTCTAAAATCTTCTAGGTTTTATTATTTTTGTCTAGTGTACCCTTCAAGTAGAGTTATATTTTTTCAGTTCAGTTTTACATCGCAAAAGCGATCGAATGATGGTCATCATTGAACTTAAACCCCCCCCCCCCCGAATTTTAAAACCCAAAATTATTGGGGGAGAAAATGCGTCTTATATTTTAGTCTCTGCCGAATATTCGTTATTAGAAACGCTTTCGAGCGCTTCGAAAGCCTACTTTTTCAATTCGTTATACTGCTTCAATCACTCACCGTATTTAACCGAATACTTTTTTTGAATTCTGGAAAATGTTTTCTGAAGTGTGAATTGAGAGTCTTGAATGCTGTTTTTTTTGACGACTTCGAGTTGCTTCTTCCGCGTAGGGAAATGTGAACTGCGAAGGAAAAATGAAATTAGGAAGATTTAGATTTATGTATTTTTATTCATTTATTTTATTACGTTTCCAGCTTGAGGAAGAAGTGGACGCCTTGTGCCAGATTGGCGTGAAGCGTCCTGAAACAGCCCTGCGAGTTGTGCGACTCATGGTCAGAGCAGAGGACCTGGATCTCAGACTGTGTCTCTTGCGACTCATTGACAACACTGAACCAGCGTTGCAGAAGTCTTACGTCGACTATCATTGCTTGAACATTATTTATTCTTGGATGCAATGTTACACGCCGGATCCGAACAAAGAGGATCTTCGCGAGGAAGTCTTGTCTGTGTTGAACGGATTCAACGTCACGCACATCAACTACGTCGAGGAATCCAAGATTCAGGTTAATTTTTATATTTACTGCATTTCTAGAGGAGGATTGCTTTTTTATTATACGCCTGTAGTGCTTTTTTCTGATTTTGGTTGTTCGGAACTTTCAGAATTTTTTTCAGTACTGCATTTCTTTCGACTTGGACAAGTTTTATACCAGGCCTTTGCTCGCAGTATTCGGTAAATTTTTATCGTAAAATTTGGAAACGCTAAACGTTTTTAATCCTCTTCGACTGAGTTGAACTCTGGAAATGAAGTGCTGTATATTTTGAAGAAGCTCAGGGGAAGTGCTTACTTCTGATCTATTTGAAGTGTAATTCGCAGTTGTTATTAGCGTCTAAAAGAGCCCCTGACCTTATATTCCGTTTTCGTTGCTTCTGAATTTTTCGAACTTCTGAAACGTGTGATGTTCTAAAGAAGAGTAAAAAGAATGAATTGCGAGCTACTTTCCAGAATTTTTTTGAAGGGTTGACGTGTAAGTTAGTCTTTTGGCCGTGGGATTTCCTGACAATATGAGAAATTTAATCCAAGAAACGAAATTTTGGAATTCAGGACCTTCCAAAAGTTAAGGTCATGAATACAGTTTGGCACTTCTCACGTCAATGCCAGGCATCCCTGAAATATTTATTTAATTTTACTTTATTTATGTAGATGTCGCCTGCATTTTCTCCATGTCTCGTTGCTTAAATTGATTTGTCACCAATATTCTCTTTGTAACGAATTTTTCTCTGGTCCCTTGAATTTCTTTGTAGAGAGAGAGTCCGCCTGTAATATAATTATCGGATGAAGCTGTGTCAGGTTAGGTTTGTTCGAATTTGCTTGGGTTTTTGTTCTCTGGGTTCGTGATTCAGGCGACACCTCTTAAAGTTTTCAGGTACCAAATTCGAGCGTGAATCAAAAGAATTGAATTTTTAAGCTTTCAATGATTCTGTAATGAAATGATGGCGTGTTCATTTATGAACAAATTGGAGCTATTGAAAGATGAGCTTGATTTTTATTGCAGCTATTGCTAGAGAAATGGTGCGGTTACTCCATTGAGCTCATTGGTCAAGCGGCAGCGGAACTTGCGAAGGAATCCAAGCAACAAGACTCTGAAGGTTTCGTGGCTGCAGTGGTGACGACGGACGCGAGAACTGCCAAATTGAAAGCCATTTTGAAAACGCCCGACGAAGACGAATTTTTCGGCGAGGAAAAACCTGGCGAGGGCGAGAAGGCGGACATCAAAGCCAGGCTGGGATTCAGATCTGTGCATTTGCTCAACACGTGGCGGATGTTGCCTCGGATGTTCCGTATTCCGAAAGTGGCCAAGGTTGAACCGATCCCCGAAAAGTAAGTACTGTTATTTCTTCTTCAATACTCATTGGAATCAAAATGTTCTTGAAAGCCCAATGTTTATGAATACCGTATATACTCAAGTACCGCTCACACTTTTTTTTCTCGAAATTTAGGGGAGAAAGAAGGGGTTGCGTTGCGCGTCGGGGATAAAAATTAAAAAAAATTTATTTATAAGTCGCATTTGAATATACTGTAATGATAAATCTTCGACAGGAACTTTTTTTAAATACAACAATTGATTTAATTTAGTTTGTTGAAATGTCAACTTTTGGCGAGAACCGTAAAATGGTCGTGTTGACGAGATTTAAATTAATATATCCTTATTCACTCAAGTACCAGTCGCCCTCGAATATGACGCGCACCTCCGTTTTCTGGCATGAAATTTGCACAGAAATGTATCCCTACTTGAGACCCGCACCCCAGTTTTACACGGTTGAAAATCGAATCATCATTTAAAATTCTAGTGTTGAACAGAATAATCTCATAAATACATCATTTTTACTAAATTTGAGCCAAACAAATTCCCTGTTCATTATTTGCACCTACAAGGTGATCACTTATGGCTCTACCGACTAATTTCCTAATTTTTTGCCCCAGAAAATTTATACCCGCATATCACGCGCACCCACATTTTCTGCCTCGATTTTGCTCAAAAAAAAGGTGCGTGGTACTCGAGTAAATACAGCGCGGTAATCGTCATTTTGCTGTATTCTTATACTGTATCGCGGGATTATTATTTTGCTTTCAAGCATATCGCCAGTGGGAAGCGCTAGTCCTCAAATGTTCGGGGCGCCGCCGTCCCAGCCTATCCAAAATAATTTATCCGCCGACCAAAAGTTCAAATTTGAACGCTCACGAAGTGGGGATCAACGTCGTCAACTGCTGGAGGAAGCCTTTCAGAATCGGAGGAAGCGTCGCGTCGACCACGACGAGGAATGGGCCAGGATGTACGCCTTCTACCACGGCCTGGAGCAGGACTACCAACTGGGCATGGCCCAGAGGAACCAAGAATCCGTGAAGCAATTTGTTCTCCCGCATCCGAGCGGAGAAGGGCATTTCATCCCGGACCCGGAAAAGTGCCCGTTTTGCTCCGACTGCGGCATTTGTCACATTGTCGTTCCTGTGATGAAGTTAGTATTGCTTCGTCTATTTTTCTTGTACAGTACTGTACGAGGGTTTTTGGAGTTGAACGCAACCTCTGATGTGTTAGAAGTAGGTGTGATGAACGTAAAAAAATTGTGTAAAAGAACGAAAAATGTCAATATTTTTTTTTAGCTGGCCTGACATATTTTTAGTATTCCGTGACACGGGTGGAGAACTCCGGCATCATGTAGTAAATTGAAAAATTTATTTTAAAATCGGAAAAAAAAACCCAGAATCTTAAAACATCCTCGGCTATGTCATGATTTATATTTTTACGGTTACTTCTACTCTATAAATATCAGAGGTCGCGACCAACTGGGACAACCCTTTTATTTGTGACTGTTTGTTTGAATGTACTGTAGTGACCAGAGATGTAATTACTTCTTGGACTGTGTCCGTATGTCAGATTGTCCGCGTGTTTGGTCACATTCTTTCATGGACTTCAATGGGAACATTTTGATAATTTCTCGTATTTGGCAAAAAAAATTGAGGAAAGGTCCTCCCGAGAAGGGAATGAAAACGTTTTTCTTAACTTGACTTTACGGTTGATTGCATATTTATGCGACAAAATCTGGAAGGTCTGGGATTAGCTCCACCGAACGAAAGATTCTTATTCCTCTTTCAAACTTTCTTTGTGTCCACCAATAGGAAATGCAGGTATAAAGACGACGAAGAATCTGAGGAAGTGCTGGTTCCGGGTGCGAACGATGCGGAATTGCAGGCCCTCGAGGAACTCATCCCTGTGTTCTCGCCACCGAAAGTGGAAGATTTTGCAGACGTCGATGTGGAAAGTACTGCAGTGGACGATATGGAGCCAGTACCTGATTTGAGATCGCCTTTGACCCTTCTGCAGCTAAAATGGTGGAAAATGATGAAGGATTCTAATGAAAGGTGGAGATTTTTACTCTTGATTTTGCCGGCTGATCGGAAACAAAAAATAAAAAGAACTTTTTCCGCTTTTTATTTCTCTGGGGAAGGAACCTTCCATCTTTTTCCTTATCCATTTCATTTTTTAAAATCCGCTTTTCCTTAGTTTAAGAAACAAAAAACATCAAAAATCTGTTTCTTTTCTTCAGTGCCCAGCAATGCTTCCTTTGTTAAGCGGGTGTTGCTTCGATCACTGAAAAAAAGAAAAGAGCAGCCTTAATCAGGATTGATCCAATTTATTGAAGACACCTGAACTCACGTAACATATTTTACCTTACTTTATCTAAACCGAAATCATCTGGAAAAATCTGGAAGAGTACATGCATTAAAATATTTTTTATTTTGATTAAATAATTTATTAAGCTGCTGTCACTCAATTCCAAGTTTGAACGGAATCGGGGTGTTTATCTCATTGCTCAAGTGTATTCAATGTTTTGCCGATTCTTTTCAATGTCAATTTAACACATCGCGAAATTCAGGCGATACGTTTTAATGACCCGAAGTCTCAGGGTTTGGGCCAAGAAGCATTCAAGCCAAAAGAACCTTTTTAAAAACTTAAATGAAACAATTTAGTGGGAAGCTTTCTTTATTTTTTATGCGACAGTATTTTTTCTGACGGAAGGAATTAATTTCATGCACTGATTTTTTCGTTTTGTTTTTGCAGATTTTACTTTTGGAAAGGCCAGCAAGCGGCGAAATGGAAACCAGCTCTCAAGACGCATATGACGGAAGAAATCCTCGCCGACATTGAAAATGCCCACATGCCTCGAGAGAAGAGCTCGAAACTGGTCCAAGAAATCCCGGAGCCCAACTACTGGTCATTGGAGAATAACCTGATGGTGGACGGGAAACGAGTCACTGTCGAACTGGGCGTTCAGGCCGACGCGGACTTGGAGTTTGACATTGAACTGCGAGACGCCGAGGCGCAAATTGTCGACGCGGAAATCGACGCTGCTGCTGCTGAAAGAGTGGCTGCCGAAAAACGTCTCGCGATGAAACGAAAAATCCCGAGGGACGAGTTTGAGAGGCTGAAGATGGAGAAGAAATTTGCTGAGAAACGGGCGAAAATGAAAGCCAAGGTGATCAATTAGTTTTGTTTTGAAAATTTTGAATGAGTATTTTTCAACCGGCGATAACGCTTACCGAAGTGATGTACTTATTCATCCAGGGACGGTAGTACACAATTTTATCTTCAACAATCGCAGCTTGGCTTTAAAAGTTGCAGGGCTTGAGTATGGTAGTACTCGTAGTACTTGCATTTAAAAAATGAATCGAACCTGTTGAAGCGGATTCGAGAAAAGATGGGTCTGAATGGTTTCATGAAATTACTTGTGAATTGATTATTGGGTAGTAATTGTGAAATTTGTATACCGTATTTACTTGAGTACCGTGCGCATCTGGTTCTCTTCTCCTAAATTTTGGATCAAATCCTATCCTAAGTATGACACGCAACCCATGTTTATTTACTAAAAAGGGGAAAAAGTTTTGAAAATATCATGCATCAATAAAAAAAAAATTTACTTGAATCGAACCCAAATCGAATAAATTCTCGATTGTTTCCATGTTCAAAATTTTTTTTTATATAAGGATCAGGTATTATGAGCACCTAAACGTAAACATTCTGAAAAATTGTATTCTTTTCTTTTTTACTCGATTTTGAAAAGAAAAATTCTTGATTCATGTGGTACTCGATTAAGTACCGGTAAATTTCCCTTCATATAAGTTAGAGATAATTGGTTTCCGAGAGGATTTTTGCGAGAAAGAGTTCCTCTTATTTCGAGTAGAAGTGGTTATTATTAAATTTTTTTTGGAGAAGCCTGTGAATTATTGTGCTTTCTTACGGCTAATTTTTTTCTTGTTCCCAGGTTCAAGGCAAGTCACAAAAACCGCATCAGAAGCACGATCCAAACCAGAAGTACAAACACGATGCGAAAATGAAGCTGAAACATGCTCCGAGCAAGTCAAAAACGAAGTCGGTGGACGCGAAGAAACCTGTTCCCGTGGCGTCATCAACGTCGCATCCGGATCAGCAGCAACAGCAAACCCCGGATGTTGGGAACCCAGAACAAAGCGACGTTGCGGCTGAGACAGAAGCTGATTCTTCAGAGGTTACAGCGATGCAATCCGACGTTTTCTCTATGGTGAATGGGAATGAAGGCGGAGGAGGAGGTGCGACGAATGAGCAGATGATCCCGGGTTTGGGGTTGTTGTCTGGTTCCGGGGATGCGGGTTCGCCCAGGGAAGGCGTGACTTCTGACCGGGTTGCTGCTTTCAAACTGCAGGTACTGTTATGTAAATGATATTCTTGGAATTGCGCTGAGGTGTTGAGAGTAAATTTCACGATTTTATATTTCGAATGCGTTGTTCTCGTGACTAATTTCAAGACTTGCTTTCGTTACGTTTCAATGCCTGGAATTTTCAATTTGAAGGATTTTTTTTGGTCTTGAACTTTTCAGCATTGTATCAAGTCTTGAGTTTATTTAGGGTATTTTTGAACAACGTCATTTTAGTTTGTCTGAGTTGAGTTACGTCAGTTTAGTTTGACTGAGTTGAATTTATGCAGAAGTATTTGTGGTCAGGTTAATGTATTGTTGAGTTATGTCTGGTTGTTGTATTGATCCGTAATTCGTAAACCTCTTGACCGTATATTACATTACTGAAGCGGGATCTTGATCATGAATCCAGTTCTGGTGCCTGCGTCACTAAGCTTACTTTATGCCTACTGCGTCGAGAATTTTTCGAAAAAACATTTTTGTGGCTTGAGATCACTTTGTCGCCCTTTTAGAGTTTGATGTTTTTGAGTTTTGAATTGACGTCTTTTTCGTGCCTACAGATTCACGATACAGTGACTCGGTATCTCAGCAATAGTCTGACGGATATGCGGCCAGAACAGAAGAGGAAACTCAAACCAAATATCGACTTCGTGAAAGTCGCCGATAAAGTAAGTGCGATTTCTATTTGAACGATTCCTGCGTTTACATTTCTTGTTCGACAATGGAAAATTCAAAAATTGTATCCAGTAATGTGAGAATATTGTTGCTGTTGGAAGAAGTGCTCCTGTTACTGCACTTTTTCTCTCCGTCGAAGGAATCTTTTCGGAGATTTAACTTGGGATTTTTCCCAGATCTCATTCCTAACGAATTTTGTCAAAAATGTTCTTCAGATGCTGTAATGCTCTTATTTTATTTTTTTTAGATTGCACACACAGTCACAGAAAAGGAGATGAAAATTCGTGTCAAAGAACGGGACTTGGTCCTCGGTACGAACTTGAAGGCGAAAATCAAAGGCTTCGTGCGACGTTATGTGGAAACTGTTCTGCTGATCAACTCTTCTCATGCTCGTGCATAATGTGAATTCATGCACTGACTGGAGTGTTGTTTTACTGTTTAGAAAAAAAAAGATGGGGGAAACAAAACGAAAAAAAAACTGTTTTTGCTGTTGTTTTGCTATGGCCCGGGGGATGAGGAAAGACCGGAAATATTGTGTCCATTTTTTGAGGAACACTTGAAAGTGTAGTTTTTTTTGTTGCTTCTAGCTCGATTTGAAGGCGGTTTTCAACGCATGGGACAAAATCGGGTTTACAGAAATTGAAACGCCGAATTTGCGAGTTGATCCCTTGTGAAATGAATTTATCGGGGAATGGAGAAACGTAGTTTTTGAAATGTTTTCTCATCGATTTGAAGAAGCTCTGATGCCGGCTTCTTCTCACTCGGCGTCAGAGAAGATAATTAGTTTCGAAGAGCTTTTCCCTTGAAATCTCGCTTCTTTTCCATGACGTCTACATTTATATTTATTTTGTCTGATTTTAAAGATTTCTGGAAAACCCGTTGTTCGTTGTGTGAAACCGCCATTTACGCATGACGACGTTTTCTTGCAGCATCCGTCCAAAGCAATTTTTATGCAACGTATTTACCCCAGACATACATTTTTCTGTTAAGTACGCTGAAATTTTATAAAATAAGGAATGTTCTACTGGGTGAAATGGGAATTTTGGTTCCGTTTTCAAATTCTATGAGCGTAAGAATTACTTTCTTGCGTATTTTTCAAAAGTAGCTTAAATCATATATTTGCTGAAGGAAAATTTCATTATAGATGAGCCACTAATCGAGAATAAAATTCCTTATCATTGACTGGATTTTTTAATATTAGCGCCGTCTGAAACTTACTGATGCTTATTTTATCAGTGTGTATTATTTTTCGGATAGCACGTGTAATTTTTTTGAACGTCTAATTTCATACCGTATATCAATGTTCGAAAGATAAAAAATCAAATTGGACGGTTAGTGTTGGGAAACGTTCGTACTGTACACGAATTTTTGTGGAATGCACCCTTTTTTGTGAATCTGAAGTGTTTTATACGCGTTTAATTGATTGCAGGACGGACGAGTGAGTTGGTGTTCCCCCACTTTTTTTTTTATTTAAATCTTGACGTGCTGTAAAAAGGAGAAAGGAAACCCAGGAAATCCGGTCGTGAACAGCGCGAAGATGAGTTGGTGTTGTGGTGCTTGGGCCGGGACTCGTGGCCCGTGCGCAGTCGGGTGCCAAAATCGTCGGACCTTTTGATAACCACTCGGGTTGTTCGGGGAAACGAACCCAAATCACCTCCCCGAACCCACGATGGACGGCGAAGAATGCTCGTTCCTCCTCGAGCTGTTTGACGACAGCTCGGGGCTGCTGTTGCGACATCCGTCGTCGTCGTCGTCTGCGTCCCCGCGAGGAATAGGAGGACGAGAAGAAGAAGATGACGAGGACTCGGATGCGGGTTTCGCGTCCGACTTCAACACGGACCTCTTGCCGTTTAGCCCGGACGCGTTTTGCTCGTTGCTGGACTCAGACGTGCCGGTGGAGACGGTGACTGTGGACGACGAAGACGGATTGTCGTTTTTGGATTGCGTGGTTGAGCGGGCCGCGGGTGCAGCATCGACGACGACGGCGGCGGCGGTGACGACGACGACGACGGATGGATGTGCTCTGGGCGAGCTGGAGTTTGCCAGGGAGTGCGAGAGAAGCGCGGATTTCATCGACAGCTTGTTTGAGGATCCCTGGGAACGAGATTGGATTGTGAGGCTTCTTGAAAATGCAACAATTTGAGTTTATGCGGGGGTGCCTATTGAGGAATCTGTTGATTTGAAATGGCTAATCTGTTAATTTTTGCATTACAATATTTGTGGCCGCAATTTGTTTGCCCCTTTTCTTGATAATGTTGAATATTTTTATTCTGGTTTCCGAGCTGTTTTTCCGTGCTTCAGAAAGCGAGAACGGGTTGTTCGCGTGGCATAAAAAATTGTCATTAAAATCATCATGTCACCCATGATTTAATGCGCCTCCGAAGTCACGTGCTTCAAACCCTTTCCAGATAATTGAATAAAATAGCTAACATGCCAAAACCTGAGGAACAATTTTTCTAGGTTTTTTTCTGTCCCAATGCCTCAGGTGCTTTTGTCCCGTTTTCTTGATTTTTCATTCAACGTTGCCCCTGGGAGTAAATGTCAGCAAGTCTACTACAAATCTTGCAGTGTGTCTAATTCTTGAAACGCGTTTTGAGTGCTTTTTCTGCGTAATCCTCATAGATACATTTTATTAAATCTGGAATTATCTCTTTATGGACCAAAATCAATATGAAACCCTTTTCTGAAGGACTTTTTTTTAGCGTAAGTCCTTCGGACGCATTACCTGCGTGTTAGATCTGCAATCCATATTTGAAATTAAAGTGAGATGAAACCCCTTTTTGAGGATGCCCCCTTTAGACGACATGCATGGTATTAAATGCCTTTCTGGTCAAATAGGCTAAAAATTTGCCCCAAACTTTTTATAGATAACTTTCAGCTTAGGAAAAATTTCGCCGTCGTGTATTTTTCTCAGTTCAAGTGCATTCGGGTGTGAACGTGTGTTATTTTGAGACTTCTAAGAAGTACGTTTACTTCATTTGCAGGTAACTTCGACGAAGCCAGAGCTGGAACTCCGTGCAAATCCAATCCTCGGAAGCAACAACTACACTCACCATTATCACCACCATCATCATCATCTTTTACCGCCCTCGTCGTCATCATCATCATCATCAATGACGGGATCGTCGTGGATCGCTCCGTGTTCACCGTGTGCGTCGAGTTCGTCGTCGTCAGGTGCGTCGCCGCTGAACGACGAAGCCTACTATTCGTCGTCACCCGGGCCAGTGATGGATTTGCTGCCCGTGGCGGCGCTCGGCAGCGGTGGCGGCGTTGCTGGAAACGGCCCGCCGTCACCGGCGACGGACATCGTGAAGAAGTCTACGGTTCGGTTCCGCATAGTCACGCATCGGTCGACGTCTCTTCTCTCCAAGCCAGTGAGTTCACGATTGTCACAAATAAAAGCCTTTTTTTAATGATTTTGGACAGTTTTTATTTTATTTACAATTTATTTTCGTGTATACTTTTTTTGGAAAGTATCGACAGAAAGCAGCTTGAGACGATTAAAGGAATTATTTTATTTACTTATTTGAAGAAATTTAGGAAGATATTTGGTTTCACACTTCATGGGGGTCACTTTTTTTAAAGATCGAATTGAAGTTTCTGTATTGTGTTAGAGTTACTTATTTAAAGAAATTCTGGGAGAGATTTTGTCATCATTCTTTAGAAGGGTCACGTTTTGTTTACAGAATTAGTTGAAGTTATTGTACCCGAGTTAATTATTTACTGAAATTCAGGGACAGATTTTGTTTCTTTAGTTTCGAGGTGTTTTCCTTAAATTTGAAAGATGTTCTCAGCAGTTCCGGGAGACAGTCGGCAAACAATGTTTGACAATTCCTTTTTTATTCCTTAGTAATTTTCAGCAGCCATTGCCTTATTCGGCAAAAAGAAGATTCTAAATATAACGAGAGCAATGAGTTCCGAATTGAACATTGTTGAAAAGAAGGATTTTATTTTTTTAGAAACCTCGAGCGCCAAAGTCTTCTTCGACGGGGACGGCGGCAGGTGGAGGAGGAGCTGGCCGTCGTCGGACACCGACGGTGGTGAAGGTGGCTCTGAGCGGGGAGAAAATGCCGACGACGTTTCAAGAGCTGTTGGAGCTTAACCGGCAGCGTGTGATGGCGGGCAGCAGCAGCAAGTGCGTGCGGCTCGTGGGCCCGGTGACGGCGGCGGCGCTGGCGGCCAAGCAGGTCGCCCCGGCGCCACCGCCCGTCCGCCGGCTTGCCTCTCCTAGTCTTACTAGTCCGTTCGACGAGTTCAAAACCTGTGTGGGGTAAATAAACCGAGTACAGCGGAACTCCCAATTATCCGAACATCATAATTCGTCCTGAGTAGAATACTTCTTTCAAATCTTGTATCATTTCTTTGCTTTTAAATAATTTGTGGAGAAATTTCAATTCTTGATACGATTTAATATTCAGATTATGAAATGAAAATGTATTTTAAATGGACGGGGTTAACCGAAAAAATTGTGGCCTGATTTTTGAAGGGCGGTAAATTATTGTAGTGTTCTCTAAATAAAAACTTGAAATTATGAAACGGTTTGATTCTAGATGGAACTTCAATTTAATTGCTTTCGAATCATTTTTGCTCTCTGTCTTTCTTTGTCATACAATATTATGGTTTTCAATGATTGACTTGAATACTTCTTCTTCCAAGTCAATCATTTAATTCAGCTAGTAAATAGAATCCTGTAAAATTACGTATCCCGAATACCCTTGAACGCTCATTAGTTCGGATAATGGAAGTACTACAGTACTATGATTTTTTTTCTGTGTGGTGTGATTTTATGTTGACTCTTTTGGTTTAGGGGAGTTGGGAGGGTGAGAACTGTGAGGACATACTCAAAGAAGTTCCAGGAACAGTGCTGGCCAGTTTGCCAAAAACCTCAGGGAGTGGAAGCAATGCCGCCGGATGGTGGCACAGCAAAACTGTTCGCCTCGTCTGGTGCCAACGGGCTCGACTTGGCCCCACTTGACATGTCCAAGATCAAACGTGAGTCTTTTTCTTTCTTGTCGCCTGAATTATTCTTTTTACCGCATTCCAACAATAAAGAGCAGGCGACATCTGTCGAAAATTATGAAAAGTAAAGGCAGTTCTCCTCCGTGATAATGTCATTGGATGTTTTCACGCGTCAGGCGTGAAAACTGAGGGATTTGTTTTTGTATTTTTATGCGTGATCGATGGAGAACTATTTATAGATTGTGTGATTTTCTTTTTTTCTCCGTAGGAATAATTCGGACGAAGGCGTGCAACAATTGGACGCTGGTGATAGACAAGACTCGTGAGCTGTCGCGTGAGCAGATGCGGCGCCAGTTGCGCGACACGAACGATATCGTGATGCAGAGGGCGGCGGGGCCGAAGCGAGGGCGCCTTCCGCCAGGTGGCGTATCGTCGAAGCTGGAGTTGCGTCATCGGCCGGCTCACCAGCTCCTTTCGATGCCTGGTCGACGGCCCATGTCCATGTGCAGGACCCTTGCCAAAGTTTGTGCTTGTCTTCTTTTTTTTCGTCATTCTTTTCAGATCAGATGCACTGACTGCACAGTAATTTATTTTCAGTGAAATTCTATTGAAACGAATGTCGTTATGAAGAGTTTTTCCGTGTCTTCGGAAGTTTTTCATGGAGACCATGTTTAAAAAATTGTTTTTAATCTCCTTGCCGAAGTTTCTGGTTGTCTCCTCTTCTTTCCTTCTTTTTTTTTTAGGTGTACAATGTTCATTTTCCGTGAAATCCCATTTCAACGAATCTTGATGACGATATTTTTCTGGGACTTCGCAGTTTTTTATAGAAACCCTCTTTAGAAATATTTTTATGAGACCTACTTTCACTTTTACTGTATAGCAATTTTTTGCCTTGATTATTTGCATGAGCCTTAGGGATTTTTTGTTATTGGCAGAATGTATGAAAATCCTACTTTCGCTGCATGAAAAACATAAAAAAATATAAATACCTATTCTTTTCGATACGAAATGCAGCCTTGTAAAAAGTATGAAGCTTGATAGTCAAGATAGCTTTATCAGTCGCTAGGTTTATTTTACAATCTAAAAATGGTGAATTTTCACGTGTTGATGATTAGTATGCATATTTGAAAGAATATTGCTCTATTTCAGGTAACATACAGTTGTGAATGAATGGGTGCTCTTATAAGTTCATGGTTCAGTAAAATCATTAAATTTGTAAGAAATTTGAAGCAGGTCAGGCTAAATTAAGAGGAGTGTACAGTATCTTACGTAATTAAAATTTCCTTATCATTCCATCAAGAAGAGGTGGAAATGATGGAAATTCTCTTTAAATCTGTTGTAAAAGCATTTATTACTTGTTTTCCACGAAATTTTAGTTTTTAGTTCACCAAGAATCTCACAACTTTTTGTCAGAGCAAAATTTTTTACAGGTCTCTCGGGTAGTTCGTTATAACGAGATTTGATTGTTCATATTGATGATTTTTCTGTCTTTTTCTCAAGTTTGTAATTGAAGTATTTCTTCATTTTTAATTCTTGACCATTGAAACGATCCTACTGTGATGTCACAAGTATCGCCTAAATCCGAGTCCAATTTACAGTATTGGAATCTACTAAAAATCCCTTAGGCTTAGGGGGTTTTTAGTGCTGTATTTCTTGAAACGATGTAATGTTGTATTTTACTGCACTGTGCGGTAACGCTTGAAATTTTTTTTGTGGAATAGACGTTCAAAAGAAATCTGGTGATAAAAGCCGCGGTCGTGGAGGAGTTCTTCATCGACTCGGACGGGAACGTGCGTGACCGAGAAGACGGGGAATTGATGGTGATGCTGAGGCCGAAGCCGAAGGTGAAGCCTGTGATCACAACCGGGCTGCTGGAAATGGCTGTCGCTGCTGCTGGGCTCGACGATGACGAGGAGTGACACCTGTCGCGGCTACAGCCTGTTCTTTTTTCTTGGTCACGAAAACACATTTTTGCTTTTTTTTCTCCTGTTTTTGGGTGATCCGGAAGTCATTCTTTGTTCGGAACTGGATTCTTTTTCCTAAATGTTCCTCGTGTTGTCTGTCTCGTTTCTCTTTTGTCGAGGGTGGCCTTATCTTTGTTTTGTTTTTCTACGTCTGTTTGTCTTTTATGGATTTACTTTTTGTGTCTTGAATAATTGCAGGTGAAACTTCATGAGTTTGCATTTGCTTATCAGTCAGTAACATTAGTAAGGAGAGTGCTGGGTAATGTTCACTTTTATACGTGTTTTCTTGTTTTTACGATTTAAAATTTTGTGGATCATCATCCATTTTTCTCAGACAGTAAGATCCTTTTTTTTTGAGTGATTTAAGAGGTGTTTTATTCTAGTAATATCCAGTGAAATTTCAGGAATTATTTGAGGGGTAGTTAACTCAAAAGCTGACTAGTGTAAGACCATTTGACTTTTTTTATGGATTTCCTCTTCTTGAATAATCAAGTGGAAAACTTCGTGACACTAAGGTGATGATCGAATTTTCTATTGGAAATGTTGCATAAATTGTATCACCCGACTGAAATGGGCACGTATAAAAATTAGAAAAATAATTTTTTCACTAAAGTCAATCGACGCTCCTGTTTTTTTTTTTTTTTTAAGAGAAAAGCGAAGTTTAAACATATGTCTTTTCTGGAGTCACTCTTCAAAAGTTTTCCGTTTGCAAAAATGTTCTCCACCCGAGGTAAAAGAAAAAAGAAAGAAGGTATTGTAAAAAGAATTGTTGAAAGTTTTATGGTGTAAGAGGTTTTGCCTGTAATTCGTTTGCTTTTTTTCTGGGGTGAAACTTGCAAAGAACTGAAGCGTGATGGGAAAGTTTTCATAGTGGAACGCGTTTCCGCTTGTTATATTTCCGAACCGGAAGTATTCTCAGTTTTCGAGAAGTCAATCTTTTTTTTTCCTTTTTGATACTACGGGAGAAACGGATAGAAAGACACTAAAGCTGTGAACAACTTTTAGAGGTCACAGTGCGATAAGAAAAGAAAATGGGTGGAAAACTGAAAGAAGAAGAAGGAAAAAAAGAGGAAAGATCCCCCACTTGTGATGAAGAGGTAATAAGGAATCCAGGTCGCCTGTGGTCAGGATATTGTGTTTCAAACGAGATTTTTTTCAGTTTTTTAATTATCCAAAAAAATGGTGGAATCTCTTTTGAAATCAAGAAAAAAAAAGAACAGGGGGAAGAGGAAAGAAGAACGGTTTCATTGTGATTTTGCTGCTTGTCGCAGGAATCCATAATTTCAGCTGCCGATTGATTTTCGTTTTTTTTTCAACGCGATTTTCTTTTTTTTTTGGTTTATGTTGTACGTGATAATTGCATTTTGTTTGACCATCTCTGCTTCCCGGTTTGACATCGCGGCTCATCCCCATTTTGTTTTGGAATTTAATGAGAATATTTCTGTTTGGAATTCCATTAATACGAATTTTCATGTTCCACGTTCCCAAATTTCAAAAGATACAGTTTTCTTTCAAATTTGGATGCTCAGGCGCTTATTTTTGGGATTATTGCGTCCGAGGGATATTTCTAAAAGCTTTTTCCCCTCTTCAAGTAAAAAAATTCATGAAGAAATTTTCAGTTATGATAAATTCAATAATGAGCATTTTAATCCTCGAAAAAAGTTGATACTAATCCCAGAAGAGCTATTTCAGTCAATTTATGATTTCTCATCCTCGTTTCCTTGGAATTGTTTGATTTTCTGTGCTGCTGATTGGAAGAAGACAAGAATATTTTTTTCCCCATCTTGAAGAAAGTAATGTTTGTAATTTTTGTCGGATGTTCTTAATTGATCTGTGTTTTTTCTGCTTTTTACAGGACAATTTCATTGCATTTTTCATAGATGGAGTTCTTTGCAAATCAATATAAAATCAAGAATTGTTGTATCCCGGATTATGTTTATAAACTTGATGCCCTCGATTATCTCTAGTGCAGCACTAGATTATTTGTTAGTTATTAAATTGCATTATAATTATTAAATTGCTCAGTGGGTCAATTTTTCTCCTGGAGGAATGTAGAATTTGAAATTTAGGGCAAATTAAATGGATAGTTATTCAAAAAAGTGATAGTTTTTTTTTTAAGTGGACCCGAATAAATGTGGGGTTCAGAAATGCCGCTTGTATCGAATCGAAGATGCGCCTCCAAATCAAGATGGCCGCGATGGATTACCGGGAAAATTCGAGAACTGGTCAAATCCTAAAGATATCTTGGCGGGGCGAAAGGAAATGTTGCTGTGAGCCCTTTTTTTGTTTGAAAATTTGTTGGTCCCTCCCTCGTTTCTCCTCCTCTAGTCCCGAGCAGAACCAGCTTGCCATAAACCAGTTTGGGGTTTTTGTTATTAAGTTTTATTTCGTTTTTTACGCGAGTCGTTTTTTGCATTTTTTGCTGGGTGGGTTTTATAGAAGAACATACAGGCTGTCGGAACTCACGGTTTGATTATGGAGAGACAATAACGGGAGGCTGAAGGGGGAGGAGACGGGGAAAACAAAGAGAGAACTGCGTGATCGCCGATGTGACGTTTTCAGTGTGTTTCATCCTCCCCTTTTTACTATTATTTGAAGTGATCAAACGTTCGGGAGTTTTCAGGAAAATGCGCAGGTGATTCGTCTTAATGGCTTTTCCCCCCCCCCCATCTTGGTGTTTTTATTTCGCCCATGTGTTTGCGAGTGTCTCCTCGCTTGCTGCGATATTGTGTAAAATTTCTGTGGTAAAAAGAAAAACAAGAAAAGAAACCCTGCGTGTGTGAGGAGTAAGTAGAGATTTCGGGGAAGTTCTCAGGTTTTTTAGTTGCGCGTGTAGTGGTTGAGTGAGGCCTCCTGAATTTTTTCATCCGCGGTTGAAGTAGGCTTTTTTTTCTCTCCCTTTGCTCGCGTTTTTGTTCTAGTTTTGCTCAAGAGGATCCAAGGGTTGAGGAAACTTTCGGATGCAGGATTTAGAAAATTTTTCCAAATTTTTTTTGTGGGTTTTTGATTTTTATCAAACAACGTGATAAAAATCTGCGAGCGGGATTTTCAGGTCTAGCTTTTGCAGAGTCACTGCGTGAAAACAAGGCGTTCAGATTGAGAAATTTCACACATGTTGTATTTACGCGAATGTGAAGCTGAAATTCGTATTTCGATTTTGTCTCTCAGAGAAGTGGGGTTTAATTAAGAATTAAACAAATAATTCAAAGAAAATTTTGAAATTTTATGTTGTCCAAGGATGTGCTATAAATATAAAGTAATTTTTTGAAAATAACATCGGGGCCAAGGTTGAAATAGGACCTTAATTAATGGGGATATTTGATGAGCAAATAATAATTACTCATTAATCATGCAATTATATCTGAAATTCCAGTTTTGCAAGTATCCCTGATTAAATTACATTAAGTGAAATGCAGTACAGTAACATCTTGTGAATCACAAACTTTTTTCAAGTCCCAGCAGAAACCCTGTGAAGTAAACGTTGAAATAATCGTTTTTAACTTTTTTCCAGAATGTCGCTCATTTTTTACAACAACAATTAAAAAATCTTGGATTATTGCCAGAAAAACTAGATTTAATTGATTATAGGCAGGTTTGATGTGACAGTTTTTCCAGTCATTAATTTTGAAAATCCAATTGAAACCATTTATGATCAAGTATGACAAACTTTTTCTGAAGTCCCCACAAGTTTGTTGTATCAAGATTTAACTGTATGTGAAAGTAATTTGAAGGATTGTTGAATGAGTGGTTCTATTAAAATTAAAGTAGTGATTGTTTTGCTTGCAAGATCAACTTCAATTGGTGGGAAATTATTAGGTTTCTCTGTCTTCTTTTGGGTATCCAAACTATGAATTGCTTGAATAATTTTCATTTGAAAGAATGGTCCTCCCTATGTGCAGTTTTTTGTGTAACAAAGAAGATATGGCAGTAATCTTTCTCTGTCTGGATTGAGTTAGTTGAAATTTCTGTTCAGAAAGAATGAAGTCTTGCATTCGCGTAAATATTAGTGCTCAAAAAAGTTGACCAAGTTTAGTTCTTTTTTTTTTCTTGAGGAAAGTGATGCATACTCATTCATCTTGCAGAAGGGAAATGTTTAATCCTGAGCTTTTTCGTATCCATTTTTTCTTGTCTGAATGAATAGAGAAGCTTATGCGTATTCCGTTTTTTCCTCTTGGGGATGGAATTCATTTTGTAATCTTGAAGGTGAGACAAAGAAAGCAAAAAAAGATGTTAACTCAATACTCGTATATGCGGTCAATGCAGGGTTGCTGAAGAAGGAATACCTAGAACAGAAGTTTTCTAGTCGCAAAACGGTAACATGCGTTCTGGGGGAGTACGGAGGGGGGTTTTTCTCCTGGTACTTGTACGTTTTAGGGTAGATAAGTTCGAAATTTTTTTTTCCTACGACGCAACAATGTTTTTACTTGTTATTCCTTGTTGCGGGATTTCTTTGACAAAAAAATGAAAAAAGAGGCGGGGTTTTTTCTGCCAAATGATTTTACTCTTCTGTGAGGAGCTTGATATGTGCTCTGGAACTTCTGCTGTTGTGAGTGATGCCCTGCGCCTGTGAAGAGAAAGAAAATCTCAGTAAGGTATTTCTGAACTTCAGGACTTTAAGACAACTGGCTTTCCCCCTTTTTGTGTTCCGCCGTGAACTGAGGAGGATCCAGCGCGCTGTGTCTCCCAGGACTGTGATTTTGTCCACGTGTGCACGTTTTTATTTTGGGGGTTTGGTCCGCTTTCCTTTTTTTTTGTGAAAGGGAGAGTTGCCAACTGATATTCTGGTCGCTTTTGACGACTTTTTTTTGTTCTCTGGGCTACGTTTCTGTTTGTTTTTTTTTCGTTCTGAATGCTTCCAAGAAATAATTTAGATGCAAAGTTTTCAAAAGACATTTGTTGACTGATCAGTTTCGAGCTATCTGGATTTAGAACTGCTTTGGGAAGCGTAAGGAATGATCCGACAGTCGAGTGTGGTTGTTACTTCTTTTTCTGAAAGCGGCCTGTATTTGGCACAACTTGCAGTAGCTACTGTTGAGGGTCTGTTGGATACTTGATATGACCCCCTGTTTCTTGCTGTGCTTGTGAAGTGTACTGTACAGGTGATTCAAGTAAAGATGTTCAGTCTTTTTCAACATGCCGGAGCCCTTTTTTATGCCGTGTTGCTGCTGAAATTTCTAGGTGAGTTTTCATTTTTTTTCTATGGTAATTGTAATTTTTGCTGTGCAGAGATACATTTTGGAAGGACCTTGAGCAGACTTAGCTATGCAATTTGTTTTATTCTTAATTTAAGTCAATTAACTTTCTCTTCATTGTTAAATTGCAACAGAAAATTCAGACAACCAAGTTAAAATATTACTGCAGTATAATATAATTTATGTCCACAGTTGAACCTCCCTAAATTTTGTCAGCCTTAGAATCATAGTATTGAAAACCTCCCTAACTGTGAAAGTCTTTTTTTTAAAACCTCTGTATGTCAAATTTTCTGAGGCCTTTTGATTATTATGTCCTTCTGTGAAAGACTTGTTTCCTCAACTGGAAACTTTCAAAAATCAAAACCAAGTCTTCTTTTTTCTGGTCCCTATAAATTCGACAAGAGGTTCAACTGTATATTGTACTATACTGTATTTATGTATTCTGTTTATCTGAAGTTTTGAGGATTACAAAGAACAAACTCAGTTGAAACGGACAACCTGATTTTTGAACTCATTTATTTCGTTTTGCTTTGATGTTGCGTTATGACGAAAACCTAAATAAGCTCGATTTAATTATTTGCCTGTTCCTCAAGATGCAGAAAAAATACTTTAATGAAATCAGAATTTCATCTTGCAGCTCTAATAAAAGCAAACAATAATGGTGTACCACATTTAGTGGATGAAAAAAAACTTCGCAGAATGCATGAAGTAGATTAACAATGAAAAAACAGCATGGATCCGAGTCACAAACTTCATCACAGATCACGAGGTAATTTTATCACAAAAAACATTCATGGTAATTTTAGCATCACTCATTCTTTGGGGTCTGCCTTTTTGGGAGGATCCACACCCTTGACAGATCTGTATAAATGGAGACAAAATAACATGATTAAATTATTAAATACTGTAGTCCGAAAGAATGTACAGTAACTCACGAGCGGAATTTGGGAAACGATTCCCAAGTTGCGTCCAAGTCGAATTTGCGAAACTCTTGAGCCATTTCCACCGGTTCAATTACACAACGCTTCTGCTCATCGTCATAACGCACCTTCAAAGGATAACGAAGTAATTTCGCAAAAATAATTTTCATCGAAATCATCGATTTGCGTATTCCCATTATATTACTGTAGATTCGCTGTTCTCTTGATCGATGTGGGAAACAAACCTCAACGTAGCCAGAAAGCGGAAAATCCTTGCGGAACGGATGTCCTTCAAAGCCGTAATCCGTGAGGATTCGCCGCAAATCCGGGTGATCTTGGAAGTAGACGCCGAACAAATCGTAAACTTCTCGTTCGTACCTGGAATTGTAATACAGTACAATATAAATCAGGTATCTCTAAAATATTTAAAGGAAAAAGAACGGGCAAATTACCAGTTGGCGCCTACGTAAACGGGACAAGCCGAGTCCAGTGGTGTCAACTCGTCCGTGTAGGTCTTCACCCTTATTCTCGTGTTGTACCGCAACGACATCAAATTGTATACCACCTTTTACAAAATATTGAGAGGTGAAAGTCACAATTGATGAAGGCACATGAATTCGTAACTTTTTCAAATGAAGACTACGACTAGTGATTCAGATAGTCGGATGATTGTTCAACCTTTTTTATTTAACTAAGGGGGTGTACTTTTCCTACAATCATGACCCGCTGCAATCTTCGTTTTTGTTTATTTTCAGGTTTTGGTAGTCTTCAGAACTTTTTCTGGCTGTATCCTTTTCAGAGGTACATGTATAATATATAATAATGTATTATAATGTATAATATACCTCTGAAAAGGATACAGCATATTTTTGATATCAAGGTCTTAACTCTTAACTTAATTAGTTTGGAACCTTACCAACAAAATTGGTTCGGATAAAATATGGACATTGAAATGAGGGAATAATAATAATTCATGTAAATATAAAAGTTAAAATAAATGAACAGGAAAGCAAAACATAAAATATCTTGCTGATTTATTTCGGGAAATTTCACATCACATACATTTTTTCTCATAGGAAATATACCAATTAATTTCCGCAGAAATATTCCATATAGTAAAAAAATGCAAATCAACAATTAATTGCAATTGTAATTTTTTCCACCCACCCAAAAAAAAAACCCCATTCACGGACAGCATCATTGCGAGAGGGACACAATCGGTCGATCGTGAAGGGTCTCTCGCCATGCTGCCACCAATGAATGGGGGATCCTCTTTGGGTGGGTGTTCTTCCTCGGTGGGGTAAGAAAATCGTTCGGTTGGTCAGTCGTTCGAGTCGAAGTGGTGGTCATACCTCGAAGCGAAAAACGCGACCAGGTACATCCATGCCACAGAGGTCCGTGATCACTTCAAACTGGCCATTGTGGTGGTCCTTGAGAAAGTACAAGACTGGAAGGACGCCATTGGGATGAATGCAAATCTCCATCTCGTCCGCACACTGCAACTGCACCCGCTGCACAAACTTGGGCAAACACGCCGCCACGTACCGCCCAAAATCCGCACTGCGTGTCGTCCGCATCTCGTCAACTTTCCGAATGGTCGCTGACAAAAAAATGTAATAAAAGTAGATTATTATTGCACGAGAGAAAAACATCTGCAAAAAATTACTCACTTACTTGGACTATTTGGAGTTGCGACGCATTTTAATTTAACGCCGAAAAAGCAAGGCTCACTTCAAACCATCCTACATTTTTTTTAGTTACACGTGCCTGAAATCTAATGCGACATTCGACAAAAATTATAAAACATTTAATAATAGTGAAACCGTAAATATTTTCACCAGTTTCAAATCGAGCAATAAAATGAAACTTTGGGTAGCACGGGACGAGCATGAACATAAAATTCAATCTTTTCAAAGCAATTCTTTTCTTAATTTTGTTGATAACCTTTGAATTTCTGAATATACTTCACAATTTATTTAATTTTCAAAGCAATTTTTAATACTATATTAATTTTGTTCCGTTGAAGAAGTCCCTGCATTTTTTTCAAAGCCAAAAAAACGCCGATCAAATCACTCACGTCCCAACGCCGTTTCACCCGCCGCACTGCACATACCGCGAATCGGGCTAACCAACTTTGAAACCGCGCGCAACATTTTGAAAAATGAAATTTGATTTGCAACACCTGCGAAAGGAAAATGAAACCATAAATATCAACGAAGTCGGAGATTGACTTGGAAAATTCGGAAATCTTAAGAAAAAAAATTAAGGTCCGCGTAAACATTCAGAAACTCAATCAATCAATCGTCAATGTTTGTTCGCTTCCACCCCGGGCACAGAGCAAAACAATTCAAGCACAGGATTTGCAGAGATTCAAAAAAAAAGTTTCTTTGCGTGAAGATTCCGACAAATTGACTGCAAATAGAAAACAGTGCCCATGAAAAAAAATGCCTACGGAAAACCATCATCATCTTCATCGTAGGTATTCAACTCATTCATGGCTCGCATCAAGGCTCCATTCACATCCATCTTTGGCTTCTCGAGAGCGAAAGAAAAATCTCCCTTTTCAACCTCCTTCCCAGGTCTTGTGAACATGTCAAAATGAGGGATTCCCAGTTTGGGTAAATGGTCAAATTCTCCATCATCTGCAAAAAAAAACAAGAAAGAAATATAAAAAATGAGCCAAAAAATCTTCAGAATAAAAAAAAATGCCAAGTCTATTTAGCTTTTTACGCAAGGAAGCACTTACATATTTTTGATTTATTCAGGCCAACAAAATTGGATTCAAAAAGAAAAAAAGGCGCTCTATTGATAACTTTGTTACGAAATTCAGAGTTGAAAGATAGAATGTAGAATTCAATTTCGCCTCACAATTTAAAGCAATTACGCACAAAATCGGGTTTTTACACAGACATATCCTTTCAAAATATCCCCTAGTCAGAATGATGATTCAAGAAGCTACTGTACTTGGATAATTTCAATTGAGAAAAAAACAGAAATGATTGATTGGGGTCTTAATGGAGAATTGCATTCTAGTGAATTGCTTTCAATTAATTTGAAGAAACAAAAAGGAAGTCAAAACTGATATTGTCTTGGTCAGTGATTTTGGAAATTAGGTCATAGTAAAAAAAAAGAAAAATATTATTTTCTGGAGATTCAATATTTGATTTTAATAACTGTGGGCTCTCTCAACAAAACTCAAGGGACCAGCAAAAATTCATCGTAGAAAGAATTTTGCCGCAGAGAACCCTCACAACATGGAGAGAGAGCCCCATGGAACCACAAAAAATGTGTTATGCAGAGAACATTTTTTATAAACAACATTTTATATTTGTCTATTTTTTGCTTGTTCATTTTTTCAATTTTTGCGTGTTGATTTTGTGAATAGCCAGTTGATTACAACACACTGCAGCAAAATCAAGTTTTTCACAACAAAAGCCATCCAGAAACAGATGGCTTTTGTCATACAATGGACTCACTTAATTTTTTTTCATCATTTCCCAGTTGAAAATAACGTCTTGCAAAGTTCAATATTCACAGAAAATTAATTCAATAAAAAGAAGCATGAGGAAAGCCAACTCACGCTCAACAAAATCTGCCAGACTGTATCTGGAAAGAATCCTCTCCTTTGTAGACCATGGCTTCATACTGATCATCCACAAATTACTTAGACACTGCTGCAAAGTGCAACGCAACTTGGGATCCTTCTCCAACATGCCCTTGACGAGCTTCTCCAAGGGTTCAGTTAACTTGTAAGGAAACCTCAGCTGCTGCTCAACAATCTCTTCAGGGGATGAGAAGGGATTATCCTTGTACATCATGGTGTACAATGTCACTCCCAGGCTCCACNAAAAAAACGCCGATCAAATCACTCACGTCCCAACGCCGTTTCACCCGCCGCACTGCACATACCGCGAATCGGGCTAACCAACTTTGAAACCGCGCGCAACATTTTGAAAAATGAAATTTGATTTGCAACACCTGCGAAAGGAAAATGAAACCATAAATATCAACGAAGTCGGAGATTGACTTGGAAAATTCGGAAATCTTAAGAAAAAAAATTAAGGTCCGCGTAAACATTCAGAAACTCAATCGTCAATGTTTGTTCGCTTCCACCCCGGGCACAGAGCAAAACAATTCAAGCACAGGATTTGCAGAGATTCAAAAAAAAAGTTTCTTTGCGTGAAGATTCCGACAAATTGACTGCAAATAGAAAACAGTGCCCATTAAAAAAAATGCCTACGGAAAACCATCATCATCTTCATCGTAAGTATTCAACTCATTCATGGCTCGCATCAAGGCTCCATTCACATCCATCTTTGGCTTCTCAAGAGCGAAAGAAAAATCTCCCTTTTCAACCTCCTTCCCAGGTCTTGTGAACATGTCAAAATGAGGGATTCCCAGTTTGGGTAAATGGTCAAATTCTCCATCATCTGCAAAAAAAAAACAAGAAAGAAATATAAAAAATGAGCCAAAAAATCTTCAGAATAACAAAAAAATGCCAAGTCTATTTAGCTTTTTACGCAAGGAAGCACTTACATATTTTTGATTTATTCAGGCCAACAAAATTGGATTCAAAAAGAAAAAAGGCGTTCTATTGATAACTTTGTTACGAAATTCAGAGTTGAAAGATAGAATGTGGAATTCAATTTCGCCCAACAATTTAAAGCAATTACGCACAAAATCGGGTTTTTACACAGACATATCCTTTCAAAATATCCCCTAGTCAGAATGATGATTCAAGAATCTACTGTACTTGGATAATCTCAATTGAGAAAAAACAGAAATGATTGATTGGGGTCTTAATGGAGAATTGCATTCTAGTGAATTGCTTCCAATTAATTGAGGAAACAAAAAGGAAGTCAAAACTGATGTTGTCTTGGTCAGTGATTTTGGAAATTAGGGCATAGTAAAAAAAAAGAAAAATATTATTTTCTGGAGATTCAATATTTGATTTTAATCAATGTGGACTCTCTCAAAAAAAAAAGTCAAGGGACCAGCAAAAATTCATTGTAGAGAGAATTTTTTGCAGAGAACCCTCATAACATGGAGAAAGAGCCCCACATGGAACCAGAAAAAATGCGTTATGCAGAGAAAAATTTTATAGACAAGATTTTATATTTGTCTATTTTTTGCTCGTTCATTTTTTTCTATTTTTGCATGTTGATTTTGTAAATAGCCAGTTCATTCCAACACACTGCAGCAAAATCAAGTTTTTCACAACAAAAGCCATCCAGAAACAGATGGCTTTTGTCATACAATGGACTCACTTAATTTTTTTTTATCATTTCACAGTTGAAAATAACGTCTTGCAAAGTTCAATATTCACAGAAAAATAATTCAATGAAAAGAAGCTTGAGGAAAGCCAACTCACGCTCAACAAAATCTGCCAGACTGTATCTGGAAAGAATCCTCTCCTTTGTAGACCATGGCTTCATACTGATCATCCACAAGAATGAATCTGTGACGACGTTTCACGTTGCGTTGAACCCTAGGAAGAGGTTGTACGGGAACTGCTCGAAGAGGTTCCCAAGTCAATTGAACATTCCTTTGGAGTCGACGACGAGTTGTTAGAGAAGTCGGGATGAGAAGGGATTATCCTTGTACATCATGGTGTACAATGTCACTCCCAGGCTCCACAACTCCAACTCTGGTCCACGGTACCTGAGAATGCATTTTAATACACAAACACAAATGTATCATTATGATGATTTGATCGCAGTACTTTTTCAAGAACCACCTCCACTTTTTTTTACAAAAATTGAGATGCATAGCATAAGCAAGTACTGTACCACTCAGTTTATCACTACAGTACTTATGGAAATGTTATCAATGGGTAATTATCAGACAGCACCAGCCATAGAAATACAAATATTAAAAAATACGAATTGATTGCAATTCAATTCATCACTAATTATGTCACATTTTAAATTTAATTTATGGAATATTTTTAATACTATACACTTAATGTTGATGAAAAATTGGATGGGCATCTTATTTTAGGAAATATTCCACTGGAATACATATATATTTTATTTACAGACAGGCAAAAAAGACAGTAACTCATCCATTTCCAAAATGAATGGTGATCAAATGAAATTTTGTACAAACCAAACTACCAAGGAAATCAACAAAGAAAAAAATTGCTGCATTTAAATTTCCTCAAAAGTACATTCTTGCTAGGGACCCAAAATTTGTTTGACCCTTGAATTTTTCTAGAGAGATAGTACTTGTAAATTTTCATAATTTTCATCCAAGCTTTAAAATAACAGTGATCCATTCAATAAATGGTAGTTCAAATTAAATCTGGCATAAAAAAAATTCCAGGGGAATTAGGGAAGAAATAAATTTGTTCCATTTCAATTCCCACAAAAATAAAATATTCTGGCCTTCAAACCCCAAGCTTTTTTTTCTCGCTCAAATCCAAAAATTTTCAAGCTAAAAACAAAGTTTTCTCCAGAAGGAGGGTCATATCCATTTTTAAAATGAAACCTAATTTTTTCCACAGAATTTTAAAGCAATTATTTGCTGGAAATGACGTGAAAAATTGACAATAAAATTATTGCGACTTTAAAAATACAATGAACTCACGCATTCCCTAGAATGACCTCAGGTGAGCAGTATTGATAAGTGCCACAAAAGGTATAAAAAAGAGATGAAGATCCCTTCCTGGATCCCTTTTTCTCCGAGGGCAAGTAGGCAGCTGATCCAAAATCAATCAACTGAGCGTCGAACCGTTCATTCAATATAATATTCTCATCCTTGATGTCTCTGTGTACGATCTTTTCTTCCTCATGCAAATACCGCAGCGCATCTGCGATCTAAAAAGAAAAAAAGAAAATTCACGATAATTGATTCATTTTTTCCTCTAAAATTATATAATATTTTGAATTTCAAACCTGGACGAAGATGTGATGAGCCAAGTCCTCGGGCATTTGCTCGGGTCTTCGCCTCTCGATGAAATCAAACAGGTCGATGATGCATTTCCCATGACGCCTCATCACCAGTTGAAAATACTTTTCATTGCAGAAAACCTCCACAGCTTTCACCTGAAATAGGCATTTTTAAAATATCGAACACAACAAAATAAAACACGGAATCGTGTGCAGTGTTCCGCCATTTTTAAAAATTTCCAAATCCTTTAAACCCAATACAAATGGCTCGAATTCAATACTTCAAAAATTGACCCTGAACCAGGAAAAGTAAAGTACTGTATCTTGAAAAACCCCAGATACAGAAAATTGTTTTAAAAAAGGGGCAAAAAACTCTCGTTTACAAAACGGAAAAATACGCTAAAATTGAGTTAAAACTTCTTCAAAACAAAGTCAGAGAGACTCACAACAATTTAACTCGGAGAGTGTCCCAATTACAAAATCAACATTTTCGTTGAAAAAAAAAAAAAGTTTCTTAGAATTTAGAAGAAGAATAAAGAATTTTATTACTGATGATATTCTGGGCCGTCAACAGCAGGATAAATGAGTTGACAAAATTCTGAACTTGAAGGCAGAGGCACATTTTACCCAATTCTTTTTAGGAAACATCAAATTGCATTTAAACAATACATTAATTTTCTCTTTCCAGGGTCCCCAGAATGACAGCCCAAAGACATCTCAAAATTTGGTATACTGTACTGCATATAAGTTCAAGAGTGAATTTATTTAAAATAGGAAGGTCTACATCATATTTATGCAATTTTACCACGTACACATTTTTTTCAAGGAATCGGGCAAGAAGGGGATACAGATTTTCGGTGACATTTTAAAACTCACTGTATTTTTTGTTTTTCTGAGTGAAGCTCTAAAATAATTCCATGGTTTGAAAAATACAAAAAGGCCAAAATTCAACTCAACTTTTCAGTGAGCTTTCATCTAGATTCTTAATCCATCTAGCTTTTCAAACATGGATTTTCGTAAATGCAAATGTATGACATTTTTCTCCAAAATATGAGCTAAAAAGTTGCGCACGGTACTTGATTAAAAACATTATTACTTTGTTCATGAGGAAATTCAAAAAAGAACTAAAACGTTTTTTTTTTTTTTTCTTTGGTTCGTCTTAGCGAGGTTGAACTGCACTAACAATATTCGTATGATTCAGGGCCAGGAGAAAATCCACTTCAGCAGGAACCCAGGTCGAGTCCAAGGCTTTCAGCCCCAGTTTCTGCTTCACATCCCCGACTTGAACTCTGCAAGACGGATGCACTTGGGACTTGGTGATGAATTTGGTCACAAAAACCTCCTCGGAATCCGAACCTATCCGAGACGCGAGCTTCACGCAACCAAAGGCCCCTTTGCCAATGGACTCCAACACAGAATAGCGTTTGGAATAAGCCCCGGCAACAAGATCCTTGTCATCGCCGAATGATTCGTCATTGAGGTCGTTGTTGTCCCACATCTTGAGCTTTGCAGTGTCTCCTTCAGTCTCATTGTAGTCCTCTTCTGTCGCTGCTGCGCTCCATCGCTGTTTTCTTGCCGACAGCAAATACTGAAACAGCAAATCATCATCAATCAGCACCACCTGTGAATACTTTCATCGCGATGCCTAACCCTAAATTCTTCTGATCACACACAGAACAGCGGACTTAGGGATTAATGTAACTTTTCTTTTATGCCATGTTAACTTTTCGGTGGTGGGAACCGTTGATGGTTAAATAAGACTTTTTGTTTAGACGGGATTACGATTTTAGTGACCCTTGTGATACAAATGCCATCTGTCACAATATTTTAAAATGCATACTGTATATGCTCTTTTCAATTGATTTTGGCAAAAGGTCTTTAAAAAAAACAAAAATGACATAATTTACTTCGTGGGCACATTAGCTGGATATACTTCACACATACCAGGGTTATTTTGATTGTTCTGCAGAAAAACATGAATTATATTTTCAATTACACTTAATGAAGAGATGAGGATGCTTTTTCATGCTTGACTGTGCTGTTCAATAATGTATTTACTTAGTTACCATCAGCAGTTCAGTATTGTAATAAGATGCGCACCCTATTCATTATCACAGAATTTTGACAAAAAGCCAATCCTCCCATTTGAAAGGCACACAAGCTAGAGCTGGGTTAAAATCTTTAATCACATTTAACTAAATAATCATGTAAATGATCATGATAAATGGAAGCATTATACTGTACTGTGACAGGAGAAGACCCGAATACATTTTTGTTCTGTATTTTCTCCTACAAAGAGTCCCTTATATATAACTAAAATCACTGGCTCCATGCTTTTCTTTCTTCAAAAATGTATACCACACATGCCCAAATTCTCTGTCTTCATTTTGCATAAAAACAAAGCACATGGTTTTTGCGTAAATACAGTTACCAAACCAGAAAAAGCTACAATGAACTGCGGCGACATCTATACAAAGAGAAAGAAAATCGTGGCGACATTTGAAAAAGAAACTTCAGCCGGCACCTAGTCAACCTTCATATGGAAATACAGTACTGCCATGAACTAATTAATTTTCATGCTTGGACCAACAACAAAAAAACCCCCCAGAAGCATACAATTAAAACTCTTGATGACTCTAATCGGGTAGCGACATCTACCCAACAAAAAACAAAATGTAACCACGTCGCAGCAGGAAAATACACGCTGCAGATTCAACATTTCCCCACTGCACTGAAACATTTTTTTTCTCCCGCGAATGTAAAATGAACGTTCACGAAAATTGCGTGACTCACATGACCGAAGTTGAGCTGATTCCTAGTCGATTCAGTCGTCGTGTTTGCAATTGAGGCATTCAACGAGCTCGAATTCAGGCCACGGACTTTTCTCATGGACTCACTCAGCCCAGCCGAGGAAATCTCAGTTGCTGTTGAAATCCAAACGCAGTACACGTCTTTGGTCGACTCCGATCCCTCCATATTATTGTTGCCCTTGGCGAACTGCACGTGGTAAACNGTTGAACTGCACTAACAATATTCGTATGATTCAGGGCCAGGAGAAAATCCACTTCAGCAGGAACCCAGGTCGAGTCCAAGGCTTTCAGCCCCAGTTTCTGCTTCACATCCCCGACTTGAACTCTGCAAGACGGATGCACTTGGGACTTGGTGATGAATTTGGTCACAAAAACCTCCTCGGAATCCGAACCTATCCGAGACGCGAGCTTCACGCAACCAAAGGCCCCTTTGCCAATGGACTCCAACACAGAATAGCGTTTGGAATAAGCCCCGGCAACAAGATCCTTGTCATCGCCGAATGATTCGTCATTGAGGTCGTTGTTGTCCCACATCTTGAGCTTTGCAGTGTCTCCTTCAGTCTCATTGTAGTCCTCTTCTGTCGCTGCTGCGCTCCATCGCTGTTTTCTTGCCGACAGCAAATACTGAAACAGCAAATCATCATCAATCAGCACCACCTGTGAATACTTTCATCGCGATGCCTAACCCTAAATTCTTCTGATCACACACAGATGTCGCCTGAATCCCTAATTACATTGAAAAGAAAATACGGTACAATTGAAAAGCCACCACCCTTGGCAACTACCAATTTATTCTGAAAAACAAATCTGCCCTAATGCTAAAATCACTGGGAACACTATCAAATGCCATCTGTCACAATATTTTACAATGCATACTGTATATGCTCTTTTCAATTGATTTTGGCAAAAGGTCTTAAAAAAAACAAAAATTACATAATTCACTTTGTGGGCACATTAGCTAGATATACTTCACACATACCAGGGTTATTTTGATTGTTCTGCAGAAAAACAAAAATTATATTTTCAATTATACTTAATTTTCATACTACAGTATACAGTATTAGCTATTTTAATAAACCAACAATCTCAATAAACTGCCCCAAACCTAATGAAGAGATGAGGATGCTTTTTCATGCTTGACTGTGCAGTTCAATAATGTATTTACTTAGTTACCATCAGCAGTTCAGTATTGTAATAAGATGCGCACCCTATTCATTATCACAGAATTTTAACAAAAGCCAATCCTCCCATTTGAAAGGCACACAAGCTAGAGCTGGGTTAAAATCTTTAATCACATTTAACTAAATAATCATGTAAATGATCATAATAAATGGAAGCATTATACTGTACTGTGACAGGAGAAGACCCGAATACATTTTTGTTCTGTATTTTCTCCTACAAAGAGTCCATTATATATGACTAAAATCACTGGCTCCATGCTTTTCTTTCTTCAAAAATGTATACCACACATGCCCAAATTCTCTGTCTTCATTTTGCATAAAAAAAGCACATGGTTTTTGCGTAAATACAGTTACCAAACCAGAAAAAGCTACAATGAACTGCGGCGACATCTATACAAAGCGAAATAAAATCGTGGCGACATTTGAAAAAGAAACTTCAGCCGGCACCCAGTCAACCTTCGTATGGAAATACAGTACTGTCATGAACTAATTAATTTTCATGCTTGGACCAACAACAAAAAAAACCCCCAGAAGCATACAATTAAAACTCTTGATGACTCTAATCGGGTAGCGACATCTACCCAACAAAAAACAAAATGTAACCGCGTCGCAGCAGGAAAATTCACGCTGCAGATTCAACATTTCCCCAGTGTACTGAAACATTTTTTTCTCCCACGAATGTAAAATGAACGTTCACGAAAATTGCGTGACTCACATGACCGAAGTTGAGCTGATTCCTAGTCGATTCAGTCGTCGTGTTTGCAATTGAGGCATTCAACGAGCTCGAATTCAGGCCACGGACTCGAATGTAAAATGAACGTTCACGAAAATTGCGTGACTCACATGACCGAAGTTGAGCTGATTCCTAGTCGATTCAGTCGTCGTGTTTGCAATTGAGGCATTCAACGAGCTCGAATTCAGGCCACGGACTTTTCTCATGGACTCACTCAGCCCAGCCGAGGAAATCTCAGTTGCTGTTGAAATCCAAACGCAGTACACGTCTTTGGTCGACTCCGATCCCTCCATATTATTGTTGCCCTTGGCGAACTGCACGTGGTAAACCACATCTGGGGAAACGGAACGTCAACTCGTATACGTATTCTAGAAAAAAATAAATGAAAAGCGAAGATTTCTCACTGATTTTAGACCCATCCGAATGCAATCCGGTGCCGGAATAAGTGCCGTCCACGAATCGTCTATCTTCATCTCTTCCTATCCCAGATTCCGGACGCTGTCTTCCAGCTTTCGGGGTCGATTCCAGAGGTATCTTGACAAGAAAAAAATTATAATAAACGAATTGATTCTCGGACAAAATCAGGAAGAAAGGAAGGGCTTGCAGGCTTCGGCAAAAAAGCCCCACAACCTTTAATCGACACTTTTTGAACAGACTTCTACTGGCCAAAGTACTAGTTCCAGTTCGTAGAACCTTGATTTTTTATTATGACCATTCAAGGGTAGTTTTAAGGGAAATCTAGTCCACGACGTATATGAAGGCTAGGAAACATGTTTTGTGAACCGCGGAAAAAAGAACATGGCGAACATTGATTCCACTTCAGTACTGTACAATACTGTATTTGGTACAGTAGCCAGTCACTTTTGAAAAAAGGGACGAGAATTACTGGAGCCAAATCTTAATACAGTACATCAAAGCATAACACTTATATTATTCATGGACTGCTAAGAGTATACTTCAGTTCACAACCGGGTTGTCAGTCATCCTTCAAATTAAAAATATAAAAAGTTACTGCTCAGGAATAAAGTTTATATGATATATTCTTCTACTGTGTCTATTGTGAAGACGATTTTTTTTAGGTCACGCAGATGTCACTGCCAAACACAGAACCATTCCAACTATACAATCGAATTTGAACAGCTGTAAAAACCCGTCATTGCCACCTTTTACAATTGCATTTTGCTGCTGTCAAAATTCACATGAGGAAACAGAAGGAATCTACAGAAACGGAAAAACTGAAATCAATTTCCTACTCCCAACGACATCAAACCAGTCTAGAACTATGCGCGAGTATATTGGGCAGAAAAATAAATTCAACGGTGGAATTACAATGTGTCTACCTTATATCATAGTTACCAATAGAATTTTCACTTGATACTACAGTACAGTAATACCCGAGGTACACCAAAAAGGGATGAGGAAGTACTGTTCAATACCTTCATGTCATCCATCGGAGGCAATGGCATTGAATCTGATTCATCCACTTCGCAATCCCGATAGAAAGTTGGCAGCATAACTTTGACACTCTGAGAAAAACAAAAACAAATTATTACAGAAAAATACAAAATATTCAATAAAATATCAAGTACTGTACAATCGGATCTATGCAATCGAACTTGAAGGAACCAGCTCAATAATTCGACCGCAAAATTCGGAAGTTAGGGGTGAAAATACTCGGGAATATAAGAAATCGATTTAAGGAAAGCACTTTTCTTGGTAGAAACTGTAATTGGTGATATTTTGTCCTTGAATTGTTTTTTTAAATGATTTGACAGGATGCTCAACTCGGAGACAAATGTTCATTTGCCCAATTAATCTTTTATTTCCATGCAAAGCTCGTCAATATTTTATCGCTTTTTTTCTTTCCTGTGTCGATAAATTAATAGCCGGAAGACCCCCGGAAACCGCGAATTATGGAGATTTGAGGATTTTTATGCATCATTTTCAAGGGAATTAATGCGGGCACTTTGCAAAATTCGACACACGGATGCATTCAAGGGTTCGAGTTATCGTAGTTGAACATAAAATATTGACTTTATTTCCAAGAGAAAACTCACCTGACCAACTACGGCAGCCCGGTTCCACCCAAAAGTGAGCAGCGCGAAACTCGGGTTCACATCCACAATTTTCCCATCCTCATCCACCAACACTAGCCCACTGAGGTTCCCATAAATCGACACAACCACAACGTGGGTTCCACGCTCGAAATCAAAATCCGCAGGCAGGAATTCTTCGGCTTGCGGGGCAGCCATTTCGCACATGGTTGCCAAGTCAGACGACTCAAACGTTGTCACTGTCACGGGAAACGTTCCGAGACCATCGACACCTCTGGCAACCAGGGACTGATGGTTGAGACTACAGTCGAGATCCGAAGGCATTTCGGACGAGATGCTGAGCTTGGGTAAAAGTGTTGTGGCGTCCATTTCGTTCAGGTGGTCTTCGGAGAGGTCGAAAATTTCGCGGGCTACAGGGTCAAACCATACAATCTTTCCTTCGGCTCCGAGTTGCAACTGCGAATATAAATTTCATAAAAAGTGTCGTCATCAATCACTTCTTTAGAATGCCTTTACTTTTCCGTGGTTATATTATACAACGAAAATCGTGGCACAAAAATAAAATTAAATTTTGGTCTGCGAATAAAAGACGCGCATGTTCACTGCAACCAGAGTCGGAGAAGTCTCATAACTCATAATTCACGAGCGTCTTACACTTGTTTTGCAATCTGAAAAGCTTAAAAAAAATGCAGGGACTTTTCAAAACATGTAAAAATCAAAAAATGAGGCAAAAATCACAAAATTTCACTCACAACAGCATCAGCTCGAATAACGGGCTCAGCAACCGCAACTGCGACATTCTCATCAGCACCTTCAGCTCCATTCAAAAGCCGGACCCATAATGAAACCAAAACACTTTTGCCATTTTTTG